ATTGCTGAGTAATTTTATTGCCTGTGATTTTTGTGATATCCCAGTGCTCTGGAAAACACAGGAGAAGCTCTGCACTCTATTTTTCTGTTAGCGGAAAGGCGCTCTCTTTTAAAAGTACGGGGTCCGGACCGAAGGGAAGAGGGACCCGTGAATTTTTACAGTCTGACACATGGAAGGAAGTTAATGACCTAATTGGGCTTTGGCTGATGGTAAAATCTGGGGGCGTCTGCTCAGTTTTGGCCAAGCCTGTGTATAAATTACAGATGTCAAGCACACGCTGTAATGGAAGAAAGTACCGGCAATTATCATATTATATTGCAGTCCATTAACTGGCCAATTTGATTAGTCGTCTTTGATTTGTCAGTTCAGCAGCATGTGATTCCCGCCAATGGTATTACAGTATATCCAAAACATTTCTCGCCATTTTTAATCCATGTAATTTGCAAACTGCACAGTAAATGCTCAAAAACGAGAAGCGTTTGCTTCCCGCTATAGTTTGTCTTCCATTGATCCTCCCTGAGGAGACTGAGAGAGTCTGGTGTCAATCCCTCCTACATTAAAACCAACCATCAGCGTGCAAATATCATGTCAAATTGTGAATGTTAAGTGCGTAAGAAAACAAAAACGGAATGTGGAACACAGCAGTGTAGCAGACGCCGTTTCTGTTACCTTGCTGACATCCTTTCTTTGCACTTTCATTTCTTTAGAGACCCGTTAAAGTTTCCTGGAAAGGGCTTTGCCTGTAAAGATGGGCGGCGTGTCCGTGTACCAAACCACTGTCTGTACCTTAAATTTCATTTGGATGAAAGAGAAACCTGAAGTTTAAGTTATTTTTTCCGCCTAGAAAATGATGATGGGCCTTTTTGGATCAGAGACATTGTTGCACTGCGACATAAGTTTATTGCTTTATGAGACATAAATAAAAATTTGCAGCTTGAAGTGGGTTTTCAGTCTTCACACACTCAGAATCACATTTGCAGACATGGCATATTGTTCATACTGGCTTGCTTGTTTGGGCCACATTTCACCCATCTTTGCACGAGTGTCCTGTGTATGATTGCAAAATTCTGGGAATTTTCCCATTGATTCCCATACATTCCTGTTAATTCCCATTAACCCTCTTAATTCCCACAGAATGCTACCAATTTGGAATATTTCAAAAATTCCCCAGGTTAACTTCCTTTGTGATGTAAAGTTTCTGGATAGTTTCAGGGCATTTTCTGCCCTTTTGCAACCCTAATCAGTGGTATTTTGTATAAAATATATAAATTCTCACTTCAGTAGAATCATCAGTGCAGTACACCATGCAGTGCACTGTGCTTTTGCTTCAGTAGAACCATCACTACAGTAGACCATGCAGTATAGTGTATTTTTCATTCAACTGAACCATCACTGCAGTATATTATGCAGTGCCGTGTGTTTGAGTCAGCAGAATCATCGCTGCAGTACACCATGCAGTGAGATGAGTTTTAGCTTCAGGAGACCCATCGCTAAAAAAATCACCATCATTTTTTTTTCAAATAAAACTGCATTGAACTGATAAAATATAAAAATTTGTTTTTGTGTCTCTTGTTCCAATTTTAACCCAAATCCTTTTAGCAAACTCTAAAAAGAACAAATATTAATCTTGTTTTATACACTGATTACATTTATCACTTCTTTGGTAGCTAAAAATGACTGAAATCAGCGCTGTGTTCCATTGTAGTGTAAGAGATTACAGTACAGTTAATTGTCTAGCTACATAATTTTATACAGGAATTTTTGCCTCTTTGAAACTTACGGTGTTTTATTCTTTTAAAACAGTCTGGATTTTTATTCGTGTCTGAAACTACCAGTGTTTTTCTTTCAAACTCCATCTACCCATCCAATATCCTCCTGAGACCCAAGGGAAACAAGTGTCCTTCTATTGTAGGTTATTTGTCTTTGGAGGAAATAAGACATCTTACAATTTAGATTTTTTCAAATTTATTCTTATTTTAATTTCACAGCATGTTTACCTCTTTAGTGCACAACAAGAATAAATACGTTTCCCAACGTCAGTGAAAAAATAAATGCAAAAATACAATGTCCACTACAATGGACATAAATGAATAGGTCGGGTCTCAGGAGGTTACAAAGGATAGGTATTTGCATATTCTAATCTGATTTCATGTTTGTGAGAACAATTGAGACTAATTACCGCTGTTATTCTCCCGAAATAAAGTTTATTTTTCCTAGTTGTGTGGTGCCCAAAAGCTGCCTGTTTGTTTACAGACTCATTGTCCCACCACATCCCAGTGCAGCACTGGGAATATATTACAGGGAGGCATTGCCTCATAAAAGTGTCAGTCCTGGCACCCCCAGCGGATTAAACTGCCAAACACAGCCACTGGCCGTTAGCATGAAAAGTTAATTCTGCTCATTAACATTCCAGTTCCGTTCTTGCCTTTCTGTCAGTCAGTTTTTGTAAAGTGTCTGTAAACACTCTTTGACTTGGATGTTGGTGATAGAGCTGATGCATTAAACTTTAAGTGGAACATGATTTGTGTGAATTCTCCGAATACGCTGTCAGGTTTGAACAGAATCACTTTATGTTGGTGTATTTTTTTCCATGAAGGTTATTTAGTTGTATTGCTAGGTAAAACCGTACTTCCTAAAGTAAGGATTTGAACACCATGGCTACCTGGTTACCTGGGCTGACCCTGCCTGAAAGTAATGTGGTGGATCAGTCCGACCCCTCTTTTGGGATGGACTGTCCTGAAATACCATTCTGTCGTAGGGACCTGTAATGGTTAAACTGCAGCTGGACAAGAAAATGTTACCCAGAGGTTTTTAAGTGCTGTGTGGCTACAGAAAAGAATGATACAGAAGTATGAGAATGAAACTAAAGGTATAAAATAAGCTAGTCAAAGCGGAACGAAACATAACTGAACGTGATAAATAATAAAATGTCTGTATAATGTTTCAAATCAAAATTTCTCCTTTTCCACGTAATCCCAAAGGATTTGAATTGGCTTTCCGAAAAAGAAAAAAAAAATCTCTAACTTTTTATATGATTTGAGCTCAGCAGTTGTTTTTTTGTTATTTATTTGTTTGTAATGAAGTGTATCACCTAGATGGTGCATTTAGTTGTAATTTTATACCTGCTATTTGTGATGTCAGTATTTAAAAGGTCCCTCTGTCCTCTGAGTTCGGCACAAAAGCCTTGTGTGGGAATTGCATCATATGTTAACAACAATGTAACTATTCTTATTTGTTTGTTTTGTTCCATAACCCATTTTAAGCTATTCAGTATAAAATGTCTCCTGTTATATAATTTGCTGCTGTGTCTGTTTTTATTGAATGATTCCAGCATGCTCAGCTATATATGTAACTACTTTAGATGGTCATTTTACTGAAATTGACACTAATTTAGTAAAAAGCAGTTTTTTAAACTCTTTTTCTCAACCAGCTGAACATTAACACTTGAATGTGAAAATGGTTGCTGACTTGTGCTCTCTGAACAGCTTATAGCACTTGGATTCAGCAGGTGCTGCCAGAAACAGGGCTGACAAACTGTTAATCCCACAGACCTGGGGGTGGAAACTGTCCACTGACAGTTTTAATTGTGTTGTTTCTGTATTCCCTGACCTTTACGGCAGTCTCTCCACATTGAGCCTTTCGGTGTTGCTTAGAATTTCTTGCTTGCTATCTGGAGATAATCTTGTTAGATGCTGGGGATGGACGGGGAAGCGTGAGTTTGACCGACGCCTCACCTTTTGGCCGCGGCCCAGAGAGTCTCATTCATAATTCAGCCACTGTCCGGCCGTGTTTGTATGACAGTGACACCACAGTACTGCTGTATAGGATTTCACTACACACGGAGCAAGCAAAACTCGCGATGGAAATCCCCTCGGAATTGAGGCCTGTTATGTGCGAAATGCCGTTTCTGTAATCTGCCGCCAAGGACAGCAAGGGGACAGTTTCCTCTGAATTTCTGTCCTTGTTCTGACAACCACAGCTGGCTCGTTATGTAGAATATATGATATCTACATATCCACTGACGCATACCAGTCAAGAAGACAATGTCATCTTTATTTTTCATTCTTTGTTATACTATGAAATATTTATTCTTAATTATAATAATGTTCCAAAAATGTACTAAACTTACTTCACATTTGCTGTATATGCACATAATATATCCTGGTATATTCTCAAAGGATTCAAAATGTTTACTTTTATTTGTACTAGTGCAAGAATGAAGGACAGTGAAATGCTTACTTGTGTGTTTCCTGCAGACAGACACCGGACATAGGACAACCGCTTAGTGACAGGAAACAGGACGAACGCTTTGTAACAGGACGAACGCTTAGTAACAGGAAACAGGACGAACGCTTAGTGACAGGAAACAGGACGAATGCTTAGTGACAGGAAACAGGACGAACGCTTAGTGACAGGAAACAGGACGAACGCTTAGTAACAAGAAACAGGACGAACGCTTAGAAAGAGGACGAACACTTAGGAACAGGAAACAGGATGAACGCTTTAGTAACAGGACAAAGGCCAAACGCTTATATGTAAATGTAGATATGGGGCCTGTTTCAGTAAGCAAGATTTTTTGCTTGGCCACATAACTTGTCAGATTTAAGGAAGAATAACTATGGTATACTGCATCTACAGTATACTGTACATGCATGACAACAAAAAATAGTACTAAATAGCACAAAGCCAAAAATACTAGGGGTCATACACTGCATTCTATAGTGTGTATGTGTCAGGTTATTTATTGAGAGCTGGCTCATCCTAACTGAGCAAATCAGTCATAGTTATAATCTACTTTTATTTGCCCATAGTCCTGCCAAATAAGCTGTAGCCCGCCCCCTTTGATTTCATTGCCCAATCACTCTGTCTTCTTCCAGGTGGGTGGGAAGATGTAGCTGAAGACCTGAGGAGGTGGAACGGGATCCTGACACCTCGGAGCCTCTGGTTCTCCCCGTGGAGGAGGGAGAGGGTGGGGGCGGGGGGGCGTGGCGGGGGGGGCCCGACCTGCAGAGCACCGCCTCCACCATGTCCAAGAAAGGGCCCAGCGGGAGAGCCAAGGGGGAGCGGCTCGATGCCTTCGCCGCGCTGCAGGCGGCCAATGAGGAGCTGAGGGCCAAGCTTACAGACATCCAGATCGAACTGCAGCAGGAGAAGAGCAAGGTAGCCCCCCCCATCCTCCGGGTACACTTGTTCTGCCTCAGGTCCCCCTCCCTGAGATTTTCAATAAGCTGTTCCATGTGAGCAGGTACACTTCCTTTCAGTCATTCTGGATAAAATAAAATCTGTAATTTATTTGTCCCATAAAACAAAAGTATTTCTTTGCACCTCAGCACAGCTACAATTGTAAGCTGCAGAACTGAGCAATGATCAGTCATTTAGACACATCCAGGAACATGTTTAAATTGAATAAATCTGGTCTTTTATTCGTAGCATGCAGATAGTTCTGAATATGACTGAATGGTCAAATTAACCACTGGGAATAGAAAATGCACAGTTTTCCTGTGAAAGTCAAATACCAGGTATTTACATATGCATTTTAATATACTAAGAACCTTTATGATAAGGATTATGTAATGTATTACCTTTAAACTTATGTGTTGTCAGTGAGAACATGGATTCTCCCGAGCTTCATGGTCACATGTTCACTGTCCGCCAATCAGCAAAGACTGGATGAATGATGTAGTCATGGCTGAGCTGTAAGTTAACCTAGTTCGAATTCAGCTCGTGGCTGGGCGATATCATATCGAAATTATATCGCGCATGCGCAACAATCACCAGGGCTTCAGATGACAGACGAAGCATTTGGCCGGACGACAGCTTTTCGGTGCTATACGGACATTTGTTTACGCCCATAATTTGGTAAGAAAATTAGTAGTATGGCTTAAATATTAATGAGATGCGTTTTGTGATACCCAAAAGTTAGTAATCTGTATAAACTTTATGTTTCTTAAATTCGATTAGGGGAGCACACCACATAATACTATGGTTTGGTATACTACGGTTTGGTATACCTCAGTGCAATATGCACTGAAGTCGCGGTGAAGAAGAGCAGCCACCACATCGTTTAAAAGAGGAGATCCTGTGGATAAACAAGGTAAAAAGACGTCGGCGGTGTGACGGTACTTTTTGCAGTTCAACGTCTGACACATTTATTAAACATAAGGATATGCTGTATTTATACTGATAATGACTTTTGGGTGACATACAAAGCCTCAATATTTTAGCCATACTACTAAACTGCTTAACAAATTGTTACCGTAAATAAATGTCCGTATTTCACCGAAAAGCTGGCACATGGCCAAATGTTGCGCTTGTCATCTGAAGCCCTGGTGATTATTGCACATGCGCGATGTAATATCGATGTGAGATCGCCCAGCCCTAAGCTTGCCCTTTGACAGTTTGGAGTGATTAGACTTGTTCAGTCTGTAGCATTCCTTTTGCTGAGCCATGTGACACCCTCTAAGCCAGTTAAGCCAGCAGGCTTTCTGGGGGCGGGGCTTTGCTTGAACTTTTTGCTACCTGAAATGGGCCAGTGACCGGAGCGTTTACTTCCTGATCACTGCTTTTCCACTGCCGCCAGGAGCTGAGCCGAACTGGCAGTTCTCCATCGTAAAATATGTGAGGTAGCTGGCTCAGCAGTTTCACTTAGGCAGGTATTTATTTACAAATAGCCGCAGACAGACACCAAAATATGCATGCTCATCAGAAATGAAAGGGGAGATCATTAGGTTCACTTGTGAAATATCATTGTACAGATATGATCACAATAGTAATATAAGCGTCACAATAGTATTTCCAACATTCGACATCTGAGTCACGTGACCGATTTCTGACAGTGTTTTATTGGCCAAGAAGGACATGACGTTGATGATGCTGATGTTGACGACTTGGGTCAGTGAAAAGCTGGAACAAACCAACACACCTGTCTCACAGGGGAGTTTATTGCCGCTTGAGCGACATGAGTAACTGTGGGGGGTGGGTGATGACCTGTGCTGGGGGGGGGGGACAGTGGGGTGTCGACTGCTTTCTTTGGGAAGCCCCCAGTGTCTGGGGATGTATGCAGAAGTGCCCAGTTAACCAGTGCTTTTCCTCTATGAAAGTGAACATTTTGAATCCTATGATGTATGTACAGCAAATAGGAACACATGTGGGGGTTGGTGTATGTGGTCCGCTACCAATGTGTAGTCCCCCCTCCCAGGATGATCGTAACAGCTGCTTGAGGAAGGAACAGCCTCAGCGTGGCCGGTCTGGACAGTCCCCCCCCCCCCCCCCAGGGGCCCGTTGTGCGTTCTGCTCATGCTGCAAGCTGATTCTTCGGACCGACCCAGATCGATTTTAGCAGATGGACCTGAGATGACCGGCAATGGCTTTTCCTGAGTACTGACCACACCCCTCACCTTATGCAACACAGCCGAGTCGAATCTGCTGCTCCCCCCCCCCCCCCCCAACAACTCTACAATCCACAGTGCAGGAAACCATGACAGAAATACCGTTCTCAGCATTATCTATGGTGCTGGTATGGTACTGCGGTAAAGCTGTCTCCATCTGCCTGTACGTGTGAGAAATCCCACCAGGAGGATTCTAACAGACAACTTCCACACCTTGACTTTCGCTGAGCTGAGGAAACACCCTCATTCGGACGTCGGTGGCCGTCAGGGTGTGTCTTGTTGCACTGCAGGGAAGGGAGAGACACGAGCAAGATGTTAAATGTTACCTGACATCTCCCGCGTAACATCACCCCCCATGTCTGTGATGATCTGAATGCCCCCGGACCGGAAGATACCGAGCTGAGCACCCGGACCTTTTGTGGCTCCATTGGCAAGCGATCGATGGCGTTACTGTGGATACGGAGCAAGGAGTTCTTGGAAATGCCCTGTGTTGCGCTCTGTTGAATACTGATTTTCACAGGCGAGCAAACAAACCAAAATGTATCACATCAACATGGCAGGAGCTAAAGGATTCGGATTCACGGTAAGTGACACTTTCCTCACTGTTGAGGAAACGGCAAAGATCAAGCTGTAGACTTCGATCTTGAGCTTCAGGTTTGGGAAAACATGGCGAGGAATAGAAACGATTTTCTTGCCTGAAGTCTCCAAGCTCTCCCATGAGAACTTTTTTTTTCCCCCTCCTAAAGAAGCACCTTCTTGTTGTGCCTCTGAACATAAGCAGTATCTTCAGATTTTTATCACAAAGGCTTGTCTCTTTTTCGAGAATCTGCAATCCCGTCCCAAGAAATTTTCCAGACCTGTTCATATGCTCTTCTAACATGGTACAATCCATCAGAAATATATTTGCATACTTTGAGGTTTTACTTTGCTTATGATATCTAGGGATGAGAAAAAATCATCCCTCTCGTCCTGAACCTCATTTGAAATGGAAAGGTCATGTGATTTTAGGGAAAACAAGGCGAATGGAGGTTCTGAGCGAGACTTCGATTCATTTCCCCCAAGGTTAGCGATTAGTCTGGTTGCTGGGCCGACGTTGGCAGGGTGAGCAGTACCATGTCGTTCATTTTCCTCCCGACAGTGGAGAACAGCGGCGCATTGTGAGCCCCGTTGTTAAGCACGTTGTCCGTGGAGACGCCCGCTGTTTGTTGGGCCATAATGGACAATGCACAGGCACGTATGACACAAGTCAACAGCTCACTGCTATTGAGAACAGAACAGAGAGGAGTCACTCAGAGAATTTTAGCCGTCTGCTCATGATTCTTCACATCTGTCTGAAAAATGAATTACCTCAGTACAGCTGTAGGGTGGCATGTAGCTCAGTGGGTGTCTTGAAGCTTGTGGGTTCAAATCTCAAGACCAGCTGTTTGAGCTGCTAGGCCCTTAAGTCCTTAACTCCTCCTGCACTATGGGCACTAATTGATCCTGCTTTCTGATCCCAAATGTTTGTATGTTGCTTTGGACAAAAGTTAAATTAATAAATTTAAGCTTAAAATCTGTTTCCATTAGAAATGACTAGTTGTACCCTTGGCTGAACATGTAATTTTTAGGTTAGTTATACACAGTATTAGTGTAGGCATTGCATAAACTGTTTTGGGTTAAACAGCATGTCTTTGCCCGAGCCAGTCGTGCCACGTGGCACGGAGTCCGGTCTACGCTGTGACAGACACGGGGAGGAGTGTCGGCCCCCAGCCGGCCTACTGGAAAGGCTCTCCCGGAGAATGTGTCACTTGTGCGTGTTGTTCCTATTTACCCACCCCCACACACACCCAGTCCCATACAATGTATACATTCTTCAGGTCTCTGTCCTCCTGTGAGCAGACAGCTGTCATGGCCTCAGAAAGCAGCAGAGTACGGGAGGGGACACGCGGCGTATGGTGGGCGCACGCTCAGCTCAAACACCGTGTCATGGTCATCAGTCACGGGTCGTGCCCCTAACCCTAACCCTAAGTTACGCCTCGGAGTGCTTCGCGGTGCCGCTGTAAATCCCACCTCTGTGAAGCTCATAACGTACCGTTTTTGATGGGTCCGGATGATTCAGTTCTGTGGTCATTTTTGAGGCCTTACTTTTGTACTATTCAGCAACTCTGCCGTTAAGTGGCCGCTGTTTGATGGCGTAGGTTGTCCATGTTTTACTATATGCTGTCATGATTTTGAATAACGTATCGGTTCTTGTCACCGATGTACCTGCAGCTTGGGCTTGATGATACTCGGCCTCTTTGATAATGCTGTTACTCGCCTCATGTGTCTCTGAAGAGTCACCTGACAAAGTGCTGATTGTGAGGACGTAGCTGACATGGATTGCTAATGCCTGACCTGTGATTGTCATTTAGCTTCTTCTGGGGTCACATCCTTTTTCTGGTGTTTCCAGTATCTTATCCATGCACTGTACACAGTATATTTGATGATTACCACAACGCTGACCTGGAGAGATGGAGGGATGGATGGATGGATGGGTATTTGATCACTGGAGAAAATATCAGACCTGGAAACACCAGACTAGTAAATGCATCACCATCAAGTAACCCCGCCCCCTTATAAAGTAGCCCCACCCCCTCATAAAGTAACCCCGCCCCCTCAGAAGGTAACCCCGCCTCTCCATCAAGTAACCCCACCTCCCCTCATCCCCCTTCAGGTCAGCAAATTAGAGCGGGAGAAGACCCAGGAGGTGCGGCACGAGCAGCACAAAGCGACAGTGGTGGTGACGGAGCTGCGGGCCAAACTGCACGAGGAGAAGATGAAGGAGCTGCACGGCCTGCGGGAGGCGCTGCTGCGGCAGCACGAGTCCGAGCTGGTGCGCATCATCCGGGTCAAGGATGGTGAGATCCAGCGGCTGCAGACGCTGGTGAACACGCTGCGCGACGGCCCCGCCGAGAAGCTGCGCAGTGCCCTGCTGGTGGAGGCCCGCGAGGAGGCCCGGCGCGCCTTCGAGGGCGAGCGCGGCCGCATGCAGAAGGAGATCTACGAGCTGAAGGCCGTCAAGCGGCACACGGAGGAGGCTCTGATGGCCGCCGTGCAGGCCGACAAGGACAAGGCTGCCGAGATCCGTAGTGTTTACCACCTGCACCAGGAGGAGATCGGCCGCGTCAAGAGGGAGTGCGAGCGTGAGATCCGCCGACTGGTACGTGCCCATCTTCACCTCCTGCCGCGTCTCCTTTGGCGTGTTTTAATCCCTATGAAATGATAAAACCGTGGTACGAAGGAGGGCGCTCAGCGCATTTTGAGGCAATTCAGCCAATCCAGGCTTGATAGTCCTGTACCCAGGCAACTGTTGTCACGCCAACTGATTGTACTGAGACCGCCATTGGTGCGGCACGGATTTCAGGGCCGGCCGAGGGAGGGAGGTGGCCCTTAGCGGTATTCTGATGGGCAGCGACGTGTGTGTTACGAGCAGAACCAACACAGCGGTCAGCATCAATTATTGATGCCTTTATGGCCTGAAATAGCACACGGCTTTGTGGCGGGTGTTTGGTCGCAGTCCGTTAAAAGGATTTACAGCGCAGTTTGTCACATGTAAATATTTTACAAGAAGCGCCCAGTTAGAAATTAATGTACTGCAAAAATGTTTATATGAAAATCATATTGTGGGAGAGATTATTAAATGATATGTTGGTAATGGCTGCATAGAAAGGAAATCATTGACCATACAAATCGCCGCTATTCGGGTTTATGATGATATTTAAAAGATATGGAGGTGAAACGACGCAGAAGTTTATGTTGTGGTCAGTTTTATTGGTAATCTGGTGGAAGATATTCCGGTTCCCTGTCTGACTGTGGGAAAGGAATGTAGTGTCTGTGTGGCGGCCTGTTAGCATTTAGCATCGGCTGGGACTGTAAAATGTAGCGGCCAGTGATTTAGATTCTCATTTAGACTCAGGGTGAGCGATAGGGTATTAGAAAAGTTCAAAATGTACCTCCTGAGGAACGAGCCGCCCAGGAACCCAGCCGAAATAGTGAGATATTGGAGGACCCTGTAGCATCGCGGCGGCTAACGGATGGATAAAGCCGGAGACGAGTTAGCATGCATGTAAAGGGCAGCCTGAATGTGTGGGAAGATGCCATCATGTGGACGGGCTGTGAGTAATGGGATGGGATTTCAGAGTCGGGGTTTTTTCAGAGGAACGAGCTCTGTGTGACCTGTAGTATCACTGGCACATCACTGGTGGAGAATAGCGGTGCTTTTAAATGAGACCCCCCCCCCCCAGATCGCTCTCGGTTGCCGAGAGACCAAAGACAGAACGGACAGAAAGGGTCAAATTTTTAAGGTCGACACAGTATTTTCAAATTTGTGCTGAAGTGGGCTGGAAGGCCTGGTTTTCATCCTGCCTCCTGGTTTATTTAGAAAATCCAGGAGCACAGACCTGCTATGGTGGGGGGGGGGGGGGGAAAAAAAGAGAGCAGCCCAAATCCCCCCCCAGGATCCCAGCACAGATCACAGAGTGCCCTAGTCCTGTCTTCGATGACTTGCCTCCAGATCAATAATCATCACACTTGTATGACCACAGCTGTAAGCTTCCCAATTGTAATTGAGTACTTTAGAAATCATGACACGGGATATTCTCAGTGCCATAAAGCAATGTTTTAATTATACAGTCACTAAGCAAGAATACAACAGATAATGTAAAAAATACAACAGAATTGCGTAGGAAGGTTTTACTTCCAGACACAAAAGTCAAGGGAATTAAAACATCACAGATTCCTTAAATGGGTTTGGAGAACATTTTCTGCCATTTCAGTCCTTCTGAACATGTCGGTGAAGACCACCACAGTTTTTTAAAGTGATAGGGAGCGGCAGGGTGGTGCTGTAGGTACCCTCAGAGGTGGGGGTTTGAATCCAGCCCTTGCTGTCTGTCTGTCTGTCTATTCTCCCAATACTCTCACTGAAGAAGCACGTGGCCTCAGTCAGTGTTTCCCAACCCAGTTCTCGGGGACCCACAGACAGTCCACATTTTTGCTCCCTCCCAACACCCTGCCAGACAGTCCACATTTTTGCTCCCTCCCAACACCCTGCCAGACAGTTCACATTTTGCTCTTGGTTGGGTACCTGGGAGTGTTCTTCCAACTGCATTATGCTTTGGAATGAATGTGTTTTTTCTCGTGAGAATCGTGCAAATTGTTGGCTTCCCTGTCTGTACCGCTTCTAGCATTAAACCAATAAAGAGCAGCTTCAGTTTTAACAGAGCTGTCATCTCCTTTATAAAATGACTCACGCACTCGCCACAATGCCTTTATTTGTGCTCTGTATGTGGGTTTTCCACATCAAAAACATTCTGCACCCTTTAGGTTTGTAGCGTGACATAGAACGAACAAGATGGCAGCTTCGCTTTCTCGCCAGCATGTTTGATTTCGCTTTGTCCGGATGTCGTCTGAAGTAAACAGCCAGCTTAAGACTTTGCAGGATGGATGGTTGGGTCTCTGTCTAATTGATTTTAACTGCTGTGTGAGATGGAATACACAGGCATTCCATTCCATACCTGCATCAACGAGCAGGTGGGGCTTCCTGGGGGCTTCCAGAGCCAAACGTAGGTGCAACTGGGACCTCACCATTCACCCGTATCCTGGTTATACTGGTCCTGTCTATCCTGCCAGAATCCTGAACTAAACCTGCCTCCTCTGTCCCAGCCCAGGTAGCATGCGGATGTGGGCCACTTCTGGCAAGTGTGTGGCACTGCTGTCCCGGTTCCGGCTCCGGCAAATGGATGTATGCCAAAAGTGGCCCACTTGTGATTAGACAAATGTGGCCCAAATGTCACAAAACAGATATGAGCCACATGTTGAATACTTTATTAAAAAATAGTTAAATGGCTTGCGGCTCTGGCCCACTTCTGGCTAAGGTATGGCAAATGTGCGGCCCGCTCAATCACCGTCATTCCATGCGGTATGTGGGCCACATCCGGGCCAGAAAGATTTTGCTATCTGGGAGGAGGGAAACGCATCCCCTAATCCATCTGTAACGTCCTGGGGGGTTTCTGACGGCCTTGCTTTCTGAAGCTGGCGTTCTGCCCCTTTGAAGGCCAGAGAAGAACATTTTCCCCCAGACGAAAGACGTAGGAAATGTCAGGCTTGATCTCCAGGAGCAAACATGCCCTGGAAGTCTTGACGGCAGGCCCACTGCATTATGGGCAAACTGGCACATGCACAATCACGACATCAGTTCTTAGCAGTGGTTTCTATGGTACAATATACCTGCAGCAGGTACACCAGGGATAAAACCATGACAAGCTTTTAATCACTAATTTAAAAAAATTGTCTCCTCCGATGTTACTTTTTATACTGTTTGGGCAGGTGAAGCGAAGGTAATCGCATGCTTGGAGTATTAAGGAAACTCGTTGGTGTTTGCTTGTAACAAGGCAGAAGGAGAAAAAAATTGAGCAAATTGGAGGATCATTTAGTGAACACACACGGATATCAGGGACATACGTTAAACAACTGAATTACCGAGTAGCTCTTGTGTTTTTTTTCCTTCTTCTTTTTAGAGGCGCACTGGGCGGTGTCGGGATCTGTAGGTTGTGGATCAGGCTCCCTTCTGAGTTTGAATCCCATGGCCGGTAGTGTAATTATATACATCTTTAACCATAACTGCACTAGGGGGCCTGGATTTTAGATAGCCCCTGCTCTCTGTCAACAAAAAGATAATTATTAAATAATAGAATGTTCAGCAAACTCAAATTTAGACTCTAAGCATGGCAGTAGTGATTAATGTAGCATCAATGAGCATTAATGAAAATGGCTCCTAATCCATTCCCCCTGGCTGCCACCTGCGTTAATTGATCCCTGATCCCTTCCATGTTTGGCTCTTTCCCACCTTCTCCCAGGCTTCCTTTGATGTAATGAGTTTTCTCGCTTTATTTTTCTCTTTGGTACCAAGGCAATCCAGAAAAAAGTAATTTTTCTGACCATTAAATCTTACTAAGTATTTAGTTTAAGCACTCGCTTGCCACAAGACACGTCTAAAATTAGTGAGAATTTAAATTTCATGTCTGTTTAGTTCTGTACCTGATATAATTATGCAGAACTGTACAATTCATATTTCTTATTTAATTCAGTTTCATTCAGTATTTTTTTTTTTACATCCTTAGATAACCCTGTGTTTAAAAATAAGCAGCAGATTACTCCATAACTGAAAGGGTCAAGAGAGCGAGGTTTCTGAGGGGGAAAAAATCAGTGGTTTTGAGGAGAAAAGCACAGTAACTGTGCAGCATATGCACATGCGTCATCGCTCACACCCGAGAAGGTACTCACCGGGAAGCTGTCTGTGGAGAGGCGTGTCATTCCAGCCAGAGCTATGCTACGGATTCTTCACTGGGGGGTCCTGCTGCCCTACAATCCCCACAGGCACTAAGCATCTTAAGTCACAGACATATTTAGAAGAAAGGTGGTTATTTTTACCACTGGACAGTAGGCGGGGCACACGATCCCTATAAAATAATTTGCCCAACCTACATATAGCAAAATGTGAGTAATGTTTGTACACAGACAAATGATCAGTGGTGTATATCAGCTAGTCTCACACACCAATCCAGGCTTGAATTGGCTTGAACTTTCTCAGGGTTACACTGTCATTGCCCATTTTCTGATATACTAACCTGAGGAATTAAGGATGTGATTTGTGTTGGGTAAGGCACTGGCGCTGAGTCTTATTTGTGATTTGCTTTGTAACAACGTAAAATCGTTTAGAAGCTTTAATCAGAATGGCACCCAAACATCATAAATATTACGGGAAGATCCCTTTCTGTAAAATGTACATAATTTATCGACCTACACTGCTCGTTTGCAAAAAGGCCAGCCCATTGATTTATTTTTCTCGAGATCACATGCAACGAATCTTAAATTTGGATCAAAGTCCACTTGGCGTCTCCGAATGGGTACTGGGTCATCGCCGTCTGCCGAATGGAAGGCAGGTGAAGCGAAAATGCACATATGACAAGAAGCACCAGGTCACGGTGTTTCGTTCCATTCCTTAGCCGTGTTTAGCGGCACACAAAGGTGCAGGGTGGGAGGAGAGCCGAGCCGACATGCTCCACACACGCACAGTGGCTGTAGCTTAGTGTGTCTCCTGGCCAGTGTGGCACCAAGCATCAGATTCACCAAAGAGCATTATCTACCCCAAGAAGAGATCCAGAGCTCTGAGTCACACCAATGAGATGCTTCCTCTCCCTACAGTGAGGGTTGCAGGATTACTATGTGGTTCACAGGATGGGAAATTAAATGGGCAACGAGGACATGCAAATCTGCTGTGCGATTGGCCGATTTGTCATGCCAACCAATAACGATGATTGAGCTTCTAACTCTAGGTTAATAAAGAGTATGGTAGTTATGCGAGTATTTTGTTCTTAAAACTACAGAGTAAAAGTTGTGAAGGAATGTTCAGTTTCTTCCCTGTATTTTTTAATCCGTTTACTCGAGCGATGTGGCAGCTTCGGAACAGGAAAAAGGCAAGATTTGAATACTGAGCGATTTGTTCTTGTGGTTACATAACACTGCACTAAACTGTACTCTTTCTTTAATACTATACAGTAGTTCATCATTGTGCTCTTCCAAATTCTGCGGCTGGCAGTTACACCATGCAAATATAATTCAAATTATGTGGAGTACCCTTACGTCCTTTTTGATTATGTATTTTTCTGTATGCCTCCTGCTTGTTGACGTCTCGGTGTGACTGAGCAGAACAGGAGCAGCTGCGGAAAATTAGATATCAATAAATATAAATGAAACCACAGTGGCAAATGGATTTAAAGAGACACAAATTTCTCTCGCCCCGTTCAGCACTGATTTATTAATTAGGAACTATTAGGAACTTTCTGCTCTACCCCCCCCCCCCCCACACACACACACACACACACACACACACACACACCAAGCTGCTTCCCTGCGGGCGGGGCCGGCATTTCCATGGTGACGGCAGCAGGGGGGCCCCCGCGCTGTGCCTGTCTGTGTGACTGTGTTCTGTTCTGCCCTTTGTAGATGGATGAGATTAAAGTAAAAGATAGAGCACTCGGCATGCTGGGTAAGGAGCTGAGCATCCAGACTGGGCATGAGCTCCAGAAAGAGGCTGTAGGGGAGCAGCTTCTCCAGTACAGGGAGGCTGAGCAGCAGCCAGCCAGCCCCAAACGGGAGGCCCCTTATGCAGGAGATGCCGCCGATCAGTCGGATGCCTCATAAGCACTTTTACCTGCTTTGTGTCGTCCTGGCGCAGTTGCTGCGTGTTGACGGGAAGCAGCAGCAGGTGCACCCCCGCTTTCCATCTGCGATCCGAGATGAGCCTCTTATCCTGAGCCCCCATGCTTTTATGTTGTTGCCGTCGCGTTAGCGTCACGCTAAGGCAGCGCGTCTCCTGTGACATGTGCTTTGTGTTCCGCCGTCGGAGTGTCGCTGTCGCCGAATCTCCGCTCGCCGGACCTTGTGCACTTGGCTCGAGACGCCACCCCCACCGCGCACCATCTTTAGGCCGGATGTAGCTCAGATACAGCCAGTGTGCGCTGGCCGGCTCGAAACTCGGTGCACGCCGACAGTCTGACTGATCTGCAGAGTGGTTATTTTGTATTTCGTCATTATTCAGAGAGGCCAGTCTTGTAAATGCCCTCCTTTTCAACAATGCCCCCATTTTAACCACGACCCCCATTTTAACCATGCCCCCTCATTTTAACCACGCCCACTTTCCCTTCCTGTTCTGCAGCCCACTTTCTGTTGGGTGAACCTCCTCCCCACCGTCAACCCAAACTTGAGCAATTGTAGAAACAATGTGTTACTTTTGCCAGATTGCCCACCATCTGTCCAGAATGAAGATTAAAGTACATACTCCATCCTGCCTCCTTCACAGAATTAGAATATTTGGTTCACAGCATTTTTTTTTTTTCCCCAAGCGTTAATCTCAGGCACACAGAGATTCCCCCAGACATTGTCTCTCTCTCCCTGAATCTTCAGCACACTAATATATACTCATATAATCCTTCTCCCAGCATGGAAAATGTTGCGTTCCAGCTCACAGATTGCAAGCAATACGTCTCTTACCTGTAAAATACTTTTTCCAGCACAGTTTTTGTTGCGTGTTGAGACTCCGTCCTTTTTTTAGTCACTGTGTTTTTGTTCTGCCTGTGTAGCCGGCTGACCATGTGCTGTCCGGCAGAACTTGGAGGCTCATCAGTTTGTTTCCTAATGTAGATACACTTCAGATGCTCTAAGGATCATCTAAGATTCATTTACGACCATTGGGGTCTCCTGCACCAGCCGAATAAGGAATTTGTGGATGACTTGCTTTTGCTTTTTTATTTTCTAATTGTGAAATTTTTTTAAACCATTAGCATAATGCGGAGAGTGTATAATTTTAATGAGTGGAGACAGAGGAAATCCTTTATATATTTTTGTCACTCCAGTTGCATTATATGCTTGTGCTTAAACGCTAAAGGCAAACCTACATATGTCAGGTATGAAATATTTTGTTGTTTGTGTGTAAGGCGGCTTGGATTTCTCTCCCTCCTGCACCCCCGCCCCCCCCCCCCCCCCCACTCAGACACCCAGTGCTCCTCAGTCCACTTTCCATTCCATGCACATTGTTCCTACCTCCCAATAGCATCTAATGATCTCATCACAACAGGCTCCGTCTTACAGTCGCGTCACACCAGTGGTCCTTTCTGAATGCTACTGGGCCCATTAAAAGCCCTGGGGGAGGAGGGGTCCAGTATCTCCGGGCTTCATTGAGGCCATTGGTGTGATTATATAGTTCCCGCCCCCCAGTAATGGGAAAAAGTGCTGAGGTTGCAGTTATCTGCAGTTGGTCTTCATTTTAGGAACAGCAGTTGGACGAAAAGGATGCTCGCCGTTTCCAGCTCAAAATCGCCGAACTGAGCGCCATCATACGCAAGCTGGAGGACCGCAATGCGCTGTTGTCTGAGGAGCGCAACGAGCTGGTGAGTGAAACGCGGCCTTCGCCAAGTCCCCACGACTACCTTCACGCTTCATAGTTAGTGAGTGACCCTCACCTTTCACAAAGTCCCCATCACTGCATTCCTCCTTCACGGTTAATGAGTGAACATTCTTTCACAAGGTCCTCATTACTGCCTTTATCCTTTACAGTTAGTGAGTGACCCTCATCTTTCACAAAGTCCCCATCACTGCATTTATCCTTCACGGTTAGTGAGTGAACATTCTTTCACGAGGTCCTCATTACTGCCTTTATCTTTCAGTTAGTGAGTGAAGCACATCTTTCACAAAGTCCTCATCACTGCATTTATCCTTCACAGTAAGTGAAGCACATCTTTTACAGTCCCCATTGCAAAGTTTGTCTTTCACAGCTAGTGAGTGAACCATGCCCTTCACAATGGTCCACTCACTGCCTATGTAACTTAACAGTTATTGAATGAGCTACATCTTTCAAAAGATCCTCATCACTGCCTTTACAGTTAGTGACTCAAAATTATTTCTTTGTGAAATGTGGATGTCAGAAAGTGCACGGAAACTTTGAAAAGTTGTATCCTTGTGCCCAAAACATTAAGTGTTTTATATAAAAATATATCATACCTACTTTCAGGTGATTGTGTGGTTTAAAAGACTTTTTAAGTGTCATTCTGTGATACCTCCAGAATAATTGCTGTTATTTATAAGCAACTTTCTTGTTACAGAAAAGTGACATAATGCCATAAAACGATCTGCATCCATCTACATTTCTTACCGCCCACTTTCTGTAACTGGAAAAAATTGCCAGCTGCGGTACTCGCATGATACCACACAATGTTTTAAAATACTTCTGACAGTTTCTGTTAGCGTAATCCGATAGTAAGTGTCAAGAAAAGTATCACTGCAGGGAAGACAGGGATGTCTCTCTGTACCTTTTCCAAAAAAAATGTCAACCTATACGGATAGATAGATAGATAGATAGATAGATAGATAGATAGATGCTTGTGATTGAGTAACTAATAAGGGATAATGATAGATATATTTTCTACTGAATGTTGTATTGCATTTGGTTTACATTACATACAAAATCTTCATTATGATGAGGGCTGCTGCTGGTATGACGAATCCAGATCCTTTATTAGCATGCTATATAAAAATAGAAGTGTGTTAATGAGCTCGCGCTGCCCTGTGGTGGTATTCTCCTGGTGCTTTTCCTGCCCCTGTGAATGCACGAGGGGGGGAGGGGTTAGGTGGGGGAGGGGCTGCAATCGAAGTATGAATTATTTACTGCAAACATACTGCACAAGCTTTACTATGATTTTTAAAAAAGAGCCGATTATGAGTAAAGGCGATGTAGGGTTTGGGCAGCAGTGAAGTGGCCCCTCGTGCCTGGTGACATTAACACTTAGGGAAGCTGAGGAGATGCACTGTGCACTGGGGTGTGGGGGCGCCAAGCCCCTGGCTGGGGGACACGAGGAGCTCGGTGTGGAGGAGCTCGGGGCTTGTCTCAGAAGACGGAGACCAGCTTTATCTTGGACAGTGAGTGATGGATCAGCTGTGAAGGAAGCAGGATGACAACATGGGTGTTTTATCACTGCAGCTTACAGGTTCCCTTCAGAGGAAAATGCAACACACTGGTCTCTTTTTTTTTGGGGGTGTATACAGGGGCAGAGCCATAGGAGCAATGGCCCCAGCCGAAAGCTGATTGGTCCCAGGAGGAACCCCCTCCCCTGTCACTAACTGATTCGAAATATATCATTGGCTAATGATTAAGTTGGCCCCTCTGTATGAATTATGTCCCCCTCATCCTAAAAAACCCCCAGAATCGCCCCTTCTCTTTTTCCTAACTTTTTGGTCCCTCGTAGGATATTGCAGCCTTGTGTTTCCGTTTAGAGGATTTAGCTCTTTGTGATTGGAGCTGAAGGCGTTCTTTGTGTGTGCGCACGCACTAACTGCGCTCCCGCGCGTGTGTCTGCGCAGCTCAAGCGTCTGCGGGAGGCCGAGGCCCAGTACAAGCCCCTGCTGGACAAGAACAGACGGCTGAGCAGGAAGAACGAGGAACTGGCCCACGCCTTCAGACGCATGGAGAACAAGCTGAGATTCGTCACGCAGGAGAACATCGAGATGGTGCGCGGGCCGTCTCCGCCCATTCATGCTCATGATTCATAAACGGCCTGGATATCCAGAGTTGGGATATCCCAGATTCCTTCATTTGACTCACTTGGTTGGCTAAATTCCGTGTCCGGTAGCTATCAGCATTTAGGTGATTGTCTAAATCCAGAATTAAGGTACTCTGTCCAACACTGAATAACATGGTGATGTCTTGTTATGGTCATTGAGAATTTTTTAGTTCCCAAGGGATGCCTAAAGGATATTAATACATATTAAGTTAACAAATATACTGTACTGCTTAGGAAACGGTTTCAAATCAGGGTTCTCTAAGCAGCAACACAAAATATGCTGCTATATTCAGCTGTTTTAATGAGTAAAATTATATAATTCCTCCACACTGACTCGCAGAGGGAAAAGGTCGGGACGATTCGGCGACCCAGCTCTCTGAACGACCTCGACCAAAGTCAGGAAGAGCGGGAGATCGAGTTCCTACGGCTGCAGGTTGCTGAGCAGCAGAACATCATCGACGACCTGTCCAAAGTAGAAACCCCTTCTTCCTTCTGCACATAGTGAACCATTTGTCTCTGTAGCCCTTAGTGTTTCAGACCTGGAGACTTACTGTATTTGCTCTCATATTCCAGAAGCATGTTGATCTATTTCACGCTACACTATGATGCTAGAAAACGCATGTTTAAATTGCATTTCAGCTGCATGACAGTTTATAGTCTTGCCTTATTTGATGTCTTGCACTTCAAAGTGTTTCTTGAGCATTTTTGACATTTTTTAGGCATTTGAAACGGCTGGATACGTGAAAAGCGTGATAGTAAGTTTTCTGTTAATAATAATTATTATTCCTCTTATTATAATTCCTTATTTTCAAAGGTAAATACATGAAACATCACATAACACTATAACAAACACCATGACACTATACGCCAAAACTACTTTGCAACATAAATGTATAGTGTACTGGCCATTCATTGTCATTAATATGGAAATGTATGCTAGTCCTGGTCAGCTGACTTTGAATTATAATTTTCATATGATTGGCTGCAATTTATCATGTTTTACACCTGTGTCACCTCAGGGTGGAGCAACTGAGTATGTTGTGGATGCTTTGTCCCTTTACCCTAAAGGGTGTGGTGATTGTTTCTGTCTACTTATGCATCTCCCTTATACTCCCAAATCTATATTTCCTGGGGTTGTTGCGCCCATTATGATGATTTACTTGGGGGTGTGGTGTTGTGGTGGGTGTTGTGGGTGCTGCCTTTTAAGGACTGAAGGTCCCACCCCTCTCTTCCAGGAACGAGACATGTTGCTGAGGTATCGCCGACAGAGGAAGAAGTTCATTAAGCCCTGTAAGGTAGGAACCAGATTTGACAGCATGCAGTTTTACTGCTGCTCTGCTGAGTTGCGTTTGTGAGAGAGTCCAGATGGGAGGCATTAAAACAGAAACCACCCGACAAGTGGTCTGTGACGGCGGGAGCAGTCAAAACAGGTGTGCAGCAGACCACGAAACGTCGGGGGAGCGAAGTGTGCGATCGATAGGGGACCTGGAGCTGAGCCAGGCAGCACTCCTCCTGTTCCGCATGGTGGCCGTAGATTGTTAAAACAATCGGAAACTGACAGCTGGAATGCTCGCTTTCACAGAACCGGTACACCTGCCAAGTGAGGCTCGGACCGGTTACCGGCGCTGTAATGATGGTCCTGCTTTAACGCTGCTAGGATCAGGGAACTCAAAACAATAGTACAGCAAACAGCAGTAGATGCAGACAATGGTACGGGTATTTAAAAGCACAGAAAATGATAAATAGATACAAAAAAGGTAAAAACAAACAGAAGCTTGCTGGATGGCAGCTATGCTCGTGGGCTCCATCTTGGACACCTGTATGACTTCTGGTGATTTTGCCTAGAAGCCAGTGGTGGAGACGTTTTTCGGCTACGATGAAGAAGCTTCCGTGGATTCGGACGGCTCCTCGATCTCCTACCACACAGACCGGACGCCATGCACCCCGGATGACGATCTGGAGGAGGTGAGAGCATCAGGCTCCGTTCTGCTACACGTACGTCTGTCTAGTAAGTTCCGGGATCCGAAACGATCTGCCCGGATTCTTTCCTCGGAGTTAGAAGAATGTTGAAAATACGTACGGACGTAGTGTAGTCATCTCCTAAATGCTGACGTCATGCAGAGACCTCGTTTTAAACGTACAGACACTGTGTAGAGGTCCCAGAACACGTTCTTATTATTCTCTACATTCTTACCATCCTGCACATGGGCAGTCAATCAAAATCCATCTAACCTCGTTGACCCAGAGCAGGCAGGTAGCAGAGGTCATCTCGGCTGAGTGAATCTCGATTCTACAACATGGTGACGTCGTAGCGGCGACGCGCTACTTGGTGTCACAGAGAGCTGACGGCGACAGTGTTGTGTGAAGGGGAGGAAGTATCTCACGACGGGGAAGAAATCGCTCTGCTGCTCGTGTTTCCAGGGCATGATGAAGGAGGAGACGGACCTGCGCTTCCGGCAGCTCACCATGGAGTACCAGGCCCTCCAGCGGGCTTACGCTCTGCTTCAGGAGCAGGTCGGAGGGACGTTCGACGCCGAGAGGGAAGTCAAGGTAAGCAGAGGCTGCCAGGGTAACATGCCGAGCTGCCCACAGACTCATTTCTCATTAGCATGCTAATGCTAAGCAGGTTAAGCATTCGTTTTTTGTTGTGTGTCGTTCACTCTTAATTTACGGTCGTTTAATCCTTGGTCGTATACACTTATCAACTGACCCCTGACCAGTTTCACAGTATAGAATTTGCATTTGAGGGTTTTAAGTAAGAGATTCACAGAAGGTCGCCAAATATTGATAATCTGTGGCTTGATTTCAGTGCAAATGTTTACTGCCCTCAAAAAAGTGCAGAGTTACCTAGTCATCCCAGCAGACGATGTTCGGTTTAATTGGTTGGTAATTCAGCAAGATGGATGTTCTGCTCGTCTGTCTGTTCATCTTGCTCCTCAGACCAGAGAACAGATGCAAGCTGAGCTCATGCGATACCAGACGAGAATCGAAGACCTGGAGCTCGCTATGGCACACCAAGGCCAGGCAAGTAGCCCAAGCACTCTGCCCCCTGCTGGACGTCACGGGAATCAATTGCGCCAGAAACCGCTGCATTCTGTGTTCCATTGTTGCCAATGCAGTGCATCTGCTGGTCACCCTAGGCAGTTTCTACTCCCTGCAGTGTCTTTGGTGCATAGAAACTGTCATATTTGCAGGGGGGGTAAGAGATGCATCAGTAAAAAAACGTTGCTTAGTCTATCAATACATCTGGATAAGTGCTTTGGGTTCACTGCAGGCGGAAGGATGCTAATAAAATTAATCGAATTGAATTTTATATGCTTCTCCAAGACCTCAACAGCTGAGGGTCAGATTGAAGTTACTTACTGTTAGATTTTTATATGCCATACTGTCTGGCTTCAGACTTTCCGTTGGTTCTCTTACTTGTGTCAGTGGTTTTCCACCGTTACTGAAGAGACACGCTTTCGTCACAGGGATGTCCGTTTAATTAGATGAAAGCATTAATGGAGCCGTTCGGCCTTACCTGCCTCACCAAATGAGAAGAGGGAAGTCATGCTCGTTTCCATATTTTTAAAGGCAGTGTTGACATTTCAAAGCATTCCAAGCATTACCTCGGAATTTTATGTCAGCTGACATAAAATGGATTTCGTCCCTGCCTTTAATGTGGTCTGTCGTGAAATTGAATTGCGTCTGGCATGCGTTCCATGATTGCATAAAAAGGCTGTCAGGACATCGCTCACTCGTTTGGGCCGCCCTGCAATGAGGGGATGGGGGGACTGGCGTCGCGCCCGGGTCCACGTTCGCCCCACTCCTCACCTCTCCCGAACTAAAGCACTTAGCTGCTCCCTTTTTGGGCCACATTGTCTTAGCGGTGAAAAGCCCTGAGTGCCGTGTGCTGAGTCAGAGTGCTGGAGCCGCCTATAATGCCAGAGGCCTGGCTGGGCTGGGCTGCGCTTATGCAGAAAGGCCAGACCGAAGACTGAAGGACAGGGAGGCAGTGTAAGACAGGGGCTCTGGGACCGGGGCTGCGGGGCTGGCGACCGGGACTGCGGGGCAGGCGACCGGGGCTCTGGGGCAGGCGACCGGGACTGCTGGGCTGGCGACCGGGACTGCTGGGCTGGCGACCGGGACTGCGGGGCAGGCGACCGGGACTGCGGGGCAGGCGACAGGGGCTGCGGGGCAGGCGACCGGGGCTGCGGGGCAGGCGACCGGGGCTGCGGGGCAGGCGACCGGGGCTGCGGGGCTGGCGACCGGGACTGCGGGGCAGGCGACCGGGGCTCTGGGGCAGGCGACCGGGGCTGCGGGGCAGGCGACCGGGGCTCTGGGGCAGGCGACAGGGGCTGCGGGGCAGGCGACAGGGGCTGCGGAGCAGCAGAGTGCCTGAGGACAACTGCACAGGGATGATATCTATCTTCATCCATCCATGAACATCCAAACCTTCCCCGCCCCATACCCATGTTCATCAACACACCATCATTATAGTGTAAAATTAAACACGTCCACATTTGCCATTAAATATTTGAAGTATTAGTTGACTCACTTGACACTGGCACCAGTTATACTGCAGTGAGCACAAATAACAGCTAAAGGAATTATAATTAATATAGCAGATACAAGAATATGCATATATGAGCAGTTTCATTACTGTTACACGACATTACCACGCATTTTACCATCATTCCCACGGGAATACCGTAAAGATCATCTCCATTCATGCTGCTGCCACGGGAATATTTTTCCCCATTCCCATGGAATTCCGCTTTCCCTATTCCCATGCCGGCCTCTAGAGGGCACCCCGTCCTGGGTTATTCCCTGCATTGCACCCAGATACACTCTGGACCCCTGCGCCTAAGCAAGTGGATATGAAAGATGGATTGGTTATTATTAAAATTATTATTATGACAAAAGCACACTTACTGGCATAGTCTAAATTTTCATGGGCACAGTACAGCCACTAAAGGAGGCAGAGTCAAGTCCCTCATGGAGAGGCAGGGTAGGTGACTCTCCCTGTCTCACCTACTCTTCCCTCCTGTTGTTTTTCTGTATAAATGTCTTTTTGGTTCTTTTCAGTAAACTCTGACTCATGTCGTGCCGGCTGTGCCTCTGACTCGCTGGCCAGGTTTTTTTATTATTATTATTATTGTGCTGAATAGCACCATTCACATTGTCACCTTCAGTGATTGTTTACCCAAAAAGTGCGAACACGGCTGCCGTCCCCTTCGGCGCTCTGCTCGCCGCGTGTTTCCTGTGGCAGGATCGGCCCGGCGCGCGGTCGCTGCCCAAGAACCCCATCTGGGCCTCTGCAGCCAGTGTCCGCTGGGGAAATAGGGGAACAAGCTCCCCCAGGAAGAGAGACCCTGCGTGTGTTTTCCTCAAGGTCTGGGAGAGTAACTGCCACCGTGCTGGAGCCTATACCTAGAGGCAGGCAATAAATACAGAGGCACAAAGCCAGGGGTTCCATTTTTAAGACCTTCCGGATTTGGGATGTGGCGAAAGGGACTTATAGGCTCCAGGAGCAGTACTGGGGAGGGTGAAGATGTCATCTGTGTCAGAGCCTGTATCGGAGATGGATTGCTGTACCGGCGGACCGGCGGTGCCTTTTCCACCGCGCAGTGACTAATCATGTTGTCGCTTGTGCATTCAAAGGACGTGAAGTGGATAGAGGAGAAGCAGGCGTTATACCGGAGAAACCAGGAGCTTTTGGATAAGGTGGGTCAGCCAGGATGAAGATCCTCTCCCGCTTTGGTGAAATATACTTGCGGTGTATTTCCCGTATTTCTTGTGCGTGTCGAAATCTGCTACCGGTTCCTCACAGATCAAGCAGATGCAGACGGAGGAATCGCGTCTGAAGCACGACATCCAGGACGCGAAAGACCAAAACGAACTCCTAGAATTCCGCATCCTGGAGCTGGAGGTGAGGTGGGAAGGCAGCATGATCGTCATGGCAACTGCGCTTGGCTCTTTTATCGACCGGAGCGATAACGATTTCCACAGCTTCGGTATTCCTGCTACGAGAAAATGCCGATTTGCTTGACCTTGATGGGGATTGGTTGGTGTCTCCTAATTAAATAAGCAAATGAGTAGCACAAGTGTAACGAACGACGTTGTGTCACGGGAACACCCCCTGTAGGATCGTGAGAGGAGGTCCCCGGCCATCAACTTCCACACCATCCACTTTGCGGAGGGCGTGAGCCCTCTGCAGGTCTACTGCCAGGCGGAGGGCGTCACCGTGAGTTTCCGCACTGTCACGGCTCCTGTCCCCAAAACGTTGCGCCTTTTCCGTGTAAATGCCCCATCTTGATCGTGAGTCTCCCCCTTCCCCCTGCCCCGTCAGGACATCGCCATCGCAGAGCTCATGAAAAAGCTGGACATTCTTGGGGATAACGCCGTAAGTGTAGGTTGTTTTTCCTACGTACGCGTACGTACATGTGTGTGTTCCGTGTTTTTGCCGTTCAGGGGGCCCGTGCGGCCGTCTGCGACTGCGTGCCCAATTTCCATTTTTTTCTCCACCTTGCATGTCAATGCCATTCACGTATGTTTTGTGTTCTGTCCTCGTGCCACAGAACCTGACCAATGACGAGCAAGTGGTCGTTATCCACGCTAGGACTGTATTAACCTTGGCTGAAAAGGTATCCCTCATAGATGACCAGCTTTTTGTTTTATTTTGTTTGAGAAGACTCTGGGTGAATTATTAAGTTAAATAAACGTAATGTTTTTATGTATTTCTGGTGGTCAGGTTGGCTCCCATTTATCAGTATCTGAAATTATAAGATCTAACCCAGTCTAAAACAGTTTCTCCAGTGTGCCTTTGGTGATACTGCGACTGTTGTCCCTAATTACATCTGTAACGCTCTTGACCACAATTTGTGTTTACAGTGGCTTGAGCAGATAGAGGTCACCAAATCATCTCTGCAGCAGAAAATGCTGGACATCGAGAACGAGAAGGTAACCACTTCAGCAGAGCCACCCAGTCTGATGTCGCGCTCAGTTTACCTGTAGTTATAAGGGGACCTTCACCGTGTTCTGTTCTCACCTGAAGGTTCACTTCAGCAAGCAGAAGGGATATCTGGATGAAGAGCTGGACTTCAGGAAGCAGTCGATGGATCAGGCGCACAAAGTGAGGCCATTTTCCCAGCATTTTTCCTACTTTTGTGCTGTTGATTTTAATTATTCACAAAATGCTTTTTTTCATGATGCTTTATGCATTCTTTTGAAGAAAGTCTTTGCCTTTTGCTTGTGTGAATCTGGAAAGGTTATTTTGGACTAAGCAGATAAAAAGAGGTTTAACAATACCACGCACATAATGGTCATTTACAGAATAACTCGTATAAAGGTCTTCTGATGGATATACGGTTGCTTTTGGATACAGGAATGTATAGGACTTTGTCTTCCACTGTGCCATCTGGTGATGGAATTCTGTAACTGCAGGCATGAGTGAGAGAAGCGTGATCATAGCCTTGGCTCTGCCACCTTGTGGACACTTGGTGGTAATGCATACATCCTTCCATATCCACCATAGAAAGTACTTAACTGCTGCTAGAAAGCTACTCAGGGTGAGCGGATAGACTGTTGTTTTGTTTTGCACCGCCACCTAGTGGTTGCTTTTATAAAAGCATGCACATCTCCCATTTACCTTACCCACCCTAACAGAGAATCCTCGAGCTGGAGGCCATGCTGTTTGACGCTCTGCAGCAGGAAGCAGGAGCCAAGGTTTCAGAGTTGCTGTCGGAAGAGGAGCAGGAGACGCTACGGAGGTCTGTGGAGCAGTGGAAGAGGCAGGTGATGAGCGAACTCAGGGAGAGAGACGCCCAGATTCTGCGAGAGAGGATGGAGCTGCTCCACCATGCCCAGCAGGTAGGGGGCAGCATTCCGAATGCCACCAGAAAGTCTGGGTTCAAGATTCAGCAGATGTTAGTCATGCTCATGGGGATTTTATTTACACAAAAATGTTGAGGACAGATCAAAAACTGATTAGCTCAGAAATATGACCAACCAGATTGTAGAGTAGGTGATCCAAGCAACTAGAGATGGTGGAACCAACTAATCAGGTGTTTTGGTTCCACCTCCTCTAGTTGCTTAAACCCAGTCTACAATCGGGTTGGTTATCTCTCTGAACCAATCATTTTTCTGATCTGCCCTCAACATTTTTGTGTAAGAGGAAATTCCCTCGAGCTACAGTCACACCACAGTAGCGAGGAAGAACAATGCTGTTGGTTTGGCACTGAAAGTCAAATAATTTATCTTCATGCATGTCTACTGTGGATTATGGGATTCAAATAGATTCAAGCTCAAGGATGAGGGCGGGCGGACCATCTAGCCCCACCCACTTTAGTCACATGACTCCGCTTCCTCAGAGGAATGGCAGCCCCCCCTTCCCCTTTGCACACTGTGTGTTTTAACCAGTACATTGAACTACTCTTTCCCATCAAGTGTTGCACAGATAAGCTGGTCAGTGGCTTTGCTGAAATTCACTTTTTTTTTAAACAGGCAATACTCAGGCTTCCCCTTCTGTTCACCTCTGTGGCAGGTGTGTAATCACACTTTTTAAAATTTATTTTCTACAGAGAATAAAAGAACTAGAAGAGTGGATAGAAGCACAGAAACGACAGATAAAAGAACTGGAGGAAAAGGTACCAGATTGTGCTAATACAGGATATAAAAATAATGAAGTATTCATTACGATGTATCGTTTTTCAAAGATTACGTGAAGTCAAACTGTACCTTATTTTTAGAATAAACAAACTTGTTTGGATGCAAGATGTAGGAAACATTACAACACAACCAAAGATTTATTTTTTGTCTGAATGCCCTGAAATGCTGTGTGTCACCACATTTTTTCTAAACGTAAAAAGTGCGTAATGTGTGACACTCCTCAGCTACCTTTCTTTGCACATTTTACGTAGGCCGATGTGGCGTAATAACTTTCTTCTCTGTCTTCTTTCCATTTTCAACCCCATCTTTAGTTTTTATTTTTATTTTTGTTTTTTTCTTTAGCCTTCATTCTTTGGTCGTAGTTTTCCAGCAAATCGAGGAGGTGGGTAGGTTTGTTTAAGCTCCTTCCATTATGAAAATAATCATGTTAAAGTCTTTAAGGAAATCATGACGGATGGGTGGATTTGTAACATATTAATAATATAATTTAATGTGCTCTGTAACACTTAAGGGAGTACAAGTAACTTAGTAACTCAGTTACTACTCAAGTACAAATCATGAAATATAGTAACTGCATGAAATAATGATTTATTAATGATGACTATATAGGGAATCATTATGTAACTAACACTTAGTTTCTGGTTAATTAATACTTTGAAAGTGTACTACTGCATGATTTTGGCCCTTTCAAGTAAAGTGTTACCATGTGTTCTATTGTAGAGAACATATTTAACTTACACATTTTTATTTCATACAGGTGCTTAAATACCTGTGTACGACGGTACTTTGTTCTTCGGTTACCAGGTCTGCAAATATTTTTTCGGCGTCTTACGAAATACGACGGGATTTGACCCAAGATTCCCCCTTACTATGTACATGCTCGTTTGTGAAGATTTTCTGTGTTTGTGGAAAAGCGGCCAAAATACCTGACATTGCTCTCAAGCGCGTTTCTAAATCCACGGAAATACTCCAAAGCTTTGTCCTGGACCCCAGAGGATTTCAAACACTTTTTTGCGATGTATCCTTTCGAAACCCGGAGAGACGATCGCCCCTTGGAGGCAGATTAGAAATCATCCTGCATGGGAATTAAAGGACTTTTTAAACGACGCTTTATTGTCCCTGCTAAGCAGGCGGTATAACGGGTTGCTTCCATGTGGAAGCATGAAGGAGGAGAGAGACGGACCTGGCCAGCTCTCTGTGTTCCGTGATTCCCGGTGGCCAGATACGGTGGATTATGTTAGGGTCCTCAATATTAGTGTTTGAAACTAAATATATGCCAAACAATGGAATCATCAATGTCTTTTTTTCCCTTTGTGTTTAATTCAGATTTAAATAAATTTATCGAAACGGTAAACGACCTATGAACGGACAGTTTTGAATTGAAGAAATCTCAAGCAAAAATAAAGCCGCTGAGGCTTTTATTTGGCCCGAAACATTTACCTCATTCACGTGGTGCTTTTGAGACAATTACTATTAAAGTGCTGTTGTGAGGAAGCCTGAAATAAGCAGTCGTTAAAGGACCGAAGCCTGTCCCGTGGTCCAGGCAGCAGGTACACAGGCGAACAGAACAACTGGAGACGCGAGGAAATAAAAAGTCGTTTGAATGCGTGAATGAATGCGATGTGATCCTTGATTATACAGTCAAATGAGCGATGCTCCGTATCTGGAAAATAAAGAAGCAAACTGTAAGCTTTCACGTTACAGTGACCTTGATTCATACAACGAAACCGATTCAAAGGTAAGGATGCAGCGTTGCGTACTGTACTTTGCTAACAGGTGTTTTAGTTGAGATGCTGATTGACATTTTGTTTAAAAAAATAAGTGTAAACCAAATTTTTTTCATCTATATTGATGGCGTGTGTTTTAATGGTCCAACAAGAAAAACTTTTTTAATAAACCAAATCCATCGACTTTCTAACCGCTCATACGGGTCAGGGTCTCGCTGGGGGGGGTGGGGGGTGTGAACCCTATCCCAAGCAGTACTTGGCCAAGGTACAACCTGGACAGGTCAAATACACATAGACAGTACACACACACACACACACACAATCTCACACTATGGGCAAATTAGAGACCGCAGTTAGCATAATTGCATGCCTTTTAACTTTAGAGTTCCCAGAGAAATCGGGGAGAACACGCATACATACAACGGTGGTGAAACCCATGCAAAGGCACCCACTGAGCGGCCGTGGCGCTCCACCGTAACAGATTTTAGTAAATTATCGTGCTGCTAGGGGGGCAACATAAATACTTTCCACTAGAGGGAGCCCTACACTAAACATTCATCGTGTATACGATTTATTACCGCCTTATTGCGTCTCTTCGGTTATCATTCTTTTTAATGAATTTTATTTCATTTGCAATATCGAAACTTTATATTTTCTATTATTTTGAATAAACCCAGCAATTCTGTCCTGGATAAGTGGACAGAAGCTTCATTTACGTGATTATAGATTATGGCTAAAATTATAACGAAAGTCACTTCCATAAGTAATGCTGAAAATACCTGAAAGTTAAACGGATTATCAGTGTTCTGCAGTAATTTGATAAGTCAAAACATTTTAATGCTTTTTGCTTTCCACAAACCAGATTCGGGCGTATTAAATCTGATTTTGCCCCTCCGCTGTTTCAGCAGGGTTTGAGGTCAATACGAGAGTCTTCACTTGGCACTGGATCACCCGAGAATGTACGAACAGATTTTCTCCGGAGGATTTTCCTCCAACAAGTAAGTAGCCTACAGAGACAATTCATCTGATCCAGTTTCCAGCCCCTAGTGTTCCAGTTTGTTTCTTACTGGAATACGAAAAAAGAGACGCCGCCCCCGGCTTGCTGTTCTTCGAGGGGGGTGATCTGTGCTACACGCTAATCAGGCTGAATGACATTTGCATTTTGCATGCAAACGTTTGCTCAGCCGCATCTGTCGCATTTATCCAGCCGATCAATGGCGGGTAGCATGTGTCACAGAATCGCGTCTGCTACGCTCTTACAGTATCAGCTAGGCCACTAATGTTTCAGAAACACTGGCATAGTCCAACTTTTCTGGATCACGCTTGAGAACAGGGAAAATATTTCTAAAATCCACAAATTAAATTTGCCTAAAATCACTATTACAACTGAATTTTGCGTGGAGAAATCGACGACATGCAATATTGCCTATAATGTACTGTTTATTGCTGTTTGTTGGTTACCGTATATATATGAATGTTGTACATGGATGATTAAAGTGCACGGTATTTATTTTTGAATAGCCCCTCTCAAAGCCTTAAAAGGCTCAGCCAAAATCACGCCAGCAGCGAGGCAGAAAACGCCTCCGTTAAAATGTAGGTCTCTGCCAGGCAGTGCTTGAAGTGGGAAAAAATAAGTGCAGGAACTCTAATTTTCTCGGGCCACTGTCGCTGCGTCGGATCAGTTTTAGTAAGTACCGGAACGCAGAAAAAAGTGGCGGAACCCAAAAGACGAAAATACAGAAGTTCCGGAACTGCGTTCCGCTGCTTTCCGGCCCACTTCAAGTACTGCTGTCAGGGGACATTCCAGACCCCTCTCTGAGACCCCAGATAGTACGACCTACAGCCACTCGCGCCGTTCATTCTTGTGGTCCGATCAGCAACGTAACAAAGCACTCAAATCAGCTCTGGGTCACAAAGGGCAGCCTGCCTAAATCTTAATTTGGTTTTCTTAGTACATTAGAAAATGTATTTCTTAGTACATTTTTCGTGATTTTTAAATAAAGAGGGTAAAACAGTAAAATACAGAATATCTTCAGAGCTTTCTACCTTTCACACTGCACAGGGGGGCACGCGATGGACATCCTTGTTCCCGCTGTTAATCCACCAGCCCGTATATAATCCTATTAAACCGGTAGACTTCACTCTGCTGCTCCCGCTACAAAGATTCTCAATAGTTTCATCTCAACGGATGTAAGAGTGAGAGAGTAACAGTCAGGGGCAACACACATAGATAATACGAATTCTTTGTCATTTCAATTTATTCCCTCTCCTTTTGGCAATAGTATTTGGTGCAGGTACATTACTGAGTGTTTGTTTTTCACAGAATATACCAAGGGTGGTCTTCGTAATTTTCCAGTTAATGGCCTTTAAACACCTCTTGGCCTGATTCAGCAATTCCCAAGACTCTGGTAATCTGAGCCATATGGCGCCGGTGACTCTCCTGCCTTTTGGGTGCCCTCAGAGTGGCCAGATGGACCGTGACTGACTTCTAATTGATCGTGGGAAGTAGATAATTGACATCAGCTGGTGATTCCGTCAGAGGCACCAGAGGACTGTCAGGTGTGGTGGGCGGACATGTGACACGCAGATACCCAGAAGACCATCATTTCGTTACATAAGAAGCTGCATCCTGCTTACATATTGGTGATACGTCCATAACCTTCTGGACCATGTAGATATGATTCCACAGGAGATTAGCTTGTGAGCCTCTTCATACAACATGTATGTCCTCCTAACTTAAGGAAAATGGTGCTTCAGCATTAATGCAAAATAAGTCTGCTTCATCTCTGAGAAGACATCAACACTTGCTTCAGTCACGCAGTAACTGTCAAAGGTGTACTCTACTGGTAGGCTGTATCACATAGTTTTAAATTTAAGGCTCTTATACTACAAGTAATATGTCAGGTACCTGTGGATCTTGCATAACCCAAATATGTGGGTGTATGGATGCATTTTAAAATGTAACAAGCTGGGCCCACAATGTTAGAGCGTGGTGCAAATAATTATGTAACTACTATGTAATAGTGACATTTTATGGCTGATGTTGACACCTTGAAGCAATATGTGGTTTTTATGGTGTTTTCACATCTTCTTTCAGGGAGATGGTCTTAGTAGCAGGAAACAAGGATGTTCTCTTGCCAGCTGTTTGCACTGCCAGGATTCTCCTGCCAACTAGAAACTGCTGCCAATCAGGGCCGGCGTTTGCCGCCAGGCAGTTACTGCTCTGACATCAGGTGCGGCCATCTCCTATAAATCAAGGGATTCGGATCTGGATCCTAGTACTGGTGTCAGTCCAGGGCATCATCGGCTCTCACAGGAAGAGGGCACTTCAGAGGGAAATCGTTCTCCGAGCTTCAACCACAGACATCTCCTGGCCTCAACCTCCAACCTCTAACATCTGCTCTGTGATACAAGGGCGAGGACAAGCCATTGAACATCTACAGGCGTTTGACTGCTGACTCCAAGGTGGACCCAATTCACTGTTCTGCATCAATTACCTGGTACCTCGCTGCATCCAGTCCTCGTTGTAATTGGCGTGCATCATACCTCTTGTTAGTCCTGGGTGCGGGAGACCCAACTGAGAGGTGAACGTGTAACTATGTGGTTGTTTCTGTCCAGAGATTCCAGCGTTTGAGGTTCACCTGTGTGAATCAAGCTGACCACTCATTACCTTCTGTTACTTGTTCAGTAGCTTCTGTGCTTTTACCGTAAAGCATTATGGTCGTGTCGTAACTACATCGCTCCTTCCCATTTCCACGGTACACGGCAGAGTTCATTCACAATACCGTCAGAAAGTTTAAAAGCTGAGTGATTGACTGTTCTATGCAGGCACTTCTATAACTGCCTTAATTTAAATTATTTTTATGAGGAATTTACGACCTTATGGCCTTCTTGGAGAAAAATTATGAATGGTGTGGTTTTTGTTTTTTTTGCACGATGTGTTAACTTGGACTTAAAGCAGATGTATTTCTCTGTATAGATGAAATGAGGGCAAATTAAAGTTATCACATGTGGGTTAATAGTCTTGTCATAATTGTGTGTCTGGGTGGTGATTTGATGAAATGTAAATTAGAAAATGTGTTCGGCAATATATAGTCAGTCTGTCTTTGAAATTCACATTTCCTTCCATGTTTGTTTATAAAAACAATCTAAAGAATCGTTCCCTTCATATAGATACTGGAAGAATATTTGGTTCTTAGGTTACATTTAGGTAAATGTGTATGATTTTCCCGTGAAGAACCAAGGAACACAGTATCTAAAGATATTGATTTGTGTTCTGAGGATCGCAGTGAGTCTGGGAGGAGCCCAGCTCTAGTAACCTAGTGTGCAGTTTGTGGCAGTCAGGTGTAGCCAGAAATGCTCAAGTGATTCACATTCAGCTGTATCAATGTATAAAGCCATTCTGATGGATTGATTTTCAAATGCAGCTGTTCAAGGGGCGTAACTTTGGATTGAACATTGGGGGTGTTAAGTATGATTTTGTATGATTTTTTTTTTTTTTTTTGGGGGGGGGGGATTCTGATTATTTTACATCCAAGCAGCTGTCTTTCTGTATTTATTAGGTATGTTATTTTGTCTATAAGTCTTGAAAATAGTTTTATATAGCAAATTAGTTTTCTATTGCTAATTTATCAAATTCTGCACTGGTAATTAATCAAACAATCCCGGTAATTTCTGGATAATAGCTCTAACGTACCTTTGATAAACTCTTTGTGTTGTACAATAGTGGGTATGTCATTCCTTACGAACACTGATCCTCTGTTTCACCCCCTCACCACAATAATGGGCACTAATTAAATGCATAAATGAGCAACAAGTTAGGTTCATGCAGTTTTTCACGCAACCGTTTGTTCGTCGTTTCGGAGGCACGGCGCCCGTTAGTCGCTCGCACCGCGACGTCTTTCAGTACCCCGCCCCTGTGGAGAGCTCCCGCGCGGCCGTCCCCTTGCAGAGAATGACGTCGCATACCTCAAGTGCTTTAAAGGCACGTCGGTGCCTTGCTTGGGACTGACCTGTTTCTTCTGATCTTTTATTCTAATGTTAAAGTGCTGTTTAATTACGATTTTTTAAAATAAATAATTATACATATTTTCAAAAAGCTCTTAAGAATGGCAGAAAGGAAACTTCTTACTGAAAGAGCGCTATTTTCCAAACTGGGCACATATAGTTCAAAGCCTAGAGTTAAACTGGGAGGAATGTTCTGCAAAGTGGAAGACGCATTTGAAAACAAAACTTTAAATTTTGAGTCATCTAGTCCCAGATGTGAAAGAAAATGCACCAAACAGGGTTCAGAAGAGACACACATGTCTTCGGCGGATCCGGACGTTCAGAATCGGAGCGCAGGCAGCTACTCGCCTGGGAGAGAGCCCAACAGCCGAACCGAACCCGTTTCCATTACCGGGGGACCGACCATAATCTTTTCCTCATATGAGGATCAGGTACGTTCACACTAGAAAAAACTCAAAAGTCTGCATGGCAAAAATGTGAGTATGTTTTTGTGTGTGTGTGTACGTATATATATATTTATTTTTACAAAGAAAATACTATATTACACAGGGATGAAATAATATCAGTACTATTCTAGTAGGGGCTGGAAGCTGGACTGATATCTAGTTTTGGTTATTGTGTTCGTGTATGTAATATTTATTTGTACAATTTATGTGTATAATATTCCTGTATCAGACCTATTATTATTATTTTATTGTTATTGTTGTTATTATTATTATTATTATTGGAAAAATAATTATTCCAAAGTATTTATAACAATACAGCTCCAGGCCTTGACTATAGAGGTGCCTACCTACCACACTAATGAATCCATTACACAATTAAATATTATATAAAATTTCAGTTAATAAGCAGAGTTTAAAGTAAGTTAACGCAGCATTCTTGGTTAAACGTCGACATTGCACTTCCCTCCTTCCCCAATATAGACCTATTCTACTGTCTCTATATATTATAGTTATATAATACTCTTGTTTATATGCTATAAACGGTTTGAATTGTTTCCATAGACACAATAAGAACAACATCTTAGAGCAGGCCTAACTAACAAGTGCATTGTAATCTACAAAGCAAACAAAACACTGTAAATCGCTAGGATTGTGATGGTAAATGATTTAACATTGACGCGAGTTTTCATTACACATGCTCCTTCTGGAATTGTTTGGGAACTGTGAAGGGTATTTTGATTTACAAGGTCAAAAAAGACCCCCGAACGGCTCCTCTGGCCTCCATCAGCCTGCAGGATGGGTGCAGAATACTAATCAGGCAGATGGTAAGCGAGGGGGGATAGTAAGGGCAGGCGGGGGGGGCTCTACATCTTTCCGTCTGGCGAGACAACAGAAATACGGGATAGTGTCCCTGCTGCACCGAGGCTGCACAGATCCACTGGGCGTCGTGCCTGCGCTGGGAGCCTCGTCTCTCACTCCTCTCTGTCTCGGAGATCTCCAGCCGGCCGGCATGTCTTACCAAGGCAAGAAGAGCATCCCCCGCATATCGGTAAGGAGCCATTGCCGCCAACATGACAGCCGTCATTTAGGATCCGCTTAGGGTTTTGGGTGGCCGTGATGCACGACGGAGGAATCGGAAAAATCAGCTCTGGTCACGTCGTAATAGTGTGGACATTAATCCTGACATGGCCGAAACACCGTGATCACTGCAAGCGTCCATTTCACTATCAATGTTTAATTGAAGCGCTGGCTAATATATACTGAAGTGCCTAAAATCGGCAGCTTTCTATAATGAATTTAAAAATACATCGGCAGTGCCTCGGGACGTAAAGCTGTCAGTCATCTGGGCGGTACATTTTCTTGTTGGGTTTGCACGTATCTCCACCTAAATTCATTTGTAATCAGTAGGCCTATTGTCTTGCCTCGCGTTTTTGTTTTAAAGATTGAACTCGGTCTCCAAACTGATACGCCTTGTTTTTATACGGAAATCACGGGTTATGAGTGCAAGTTACTGTGTATTAGACTGAATTCCTATTTCTTAAATTGACATCTATTATCATGACTATTATTATCAAAATTATCAATAATATTAATAATAGGCCTAAGAATAATAATATCCCTCATTTGTATGACCAGATAGCAGACTATAGTAACAATGCAAATATGGTAAATACTGCAATGGACAATTTTAAGATTTCTCGGCATCACTTAACATCCTTTAATCATTTATGCGGACTAGTTCACTGAGTAGTAAACTCACCATGTCACCATATTTGCCCGCTTTGTCAGTCGTGACCCATATTCATTCCATATTCAGTTGTTATATACGATGTAGGTTAGTTATAGTAATGTACACCGAATGTAGTAATACGTATGAACATTTATTTGGCGTTATATATCAGGTTAATTTAGTATTAGCACATAGAACAGCAGTTTCCGAGTTGTCCAAGTGTCTCTCCGTCCTTGTCGTGGCTCGTGTCCTGTCTGTTGCTCCACAGACCCCCTGGGCCGGTGTCGGGATGGCCGGTTCAAATTGTCACTTTGCATCAGGTTATTGTTGCTGTACAAGCGGTTTCTCGGCGTGCTGTGTTTTCAGGATCCACTGGAAAAATCCAGAACGGCTAGGATGCAGATAAAATCATTGATATGAATTCTTATTAATATAAACGTATAGTCACTTTGATATGCTGAGCCACTAGACTCAATCTGAAATGAGCCTTATACATATAATATGGGACTGCACATGAATATTTTATAATAAGATGTGTCTTAAATTGGGATAATTTCAATAAATTCACAGCACCAAAGAAGTCTTAATTTGGTTTAATAAAACTGCGCAAAGGGGTAATTTGTCCTGTTGTTTTCAAATGCTTGCTATTCTCAGAAAAATCCCTGTGCTATACTTGCTTTCATTTTGATTACGTATAAATTATCTGACGTCATATGGGCTCTGGGAAGGTTTGTCCCATTAGGCTACCCGTACAATGGACTACAGGGAGGGAACATCTACCAGCGCACTAGAACAAAAAAGCTTCTTTCAGACAAAACTGACTCAGGAATCCATCAGGTGGGTGGTGATAAAAAAAGAAAGAAAGAAACGGAGCCTCGTAACTCCACATGGCAGCGTGGCTGCCAGACAGGGCACACAGCAGGGAACACGCCGCCTCCCCCTTTACCCCCTAGTCGTGAGGACACCCCTCCCCCACCTCATAGACCCACTGCCCCGGGCTCCGAGCCACCAGGGCGTCCTGGGTGGCGGGAGGGGCGTGGGCGTAGTTTGATGAATAAGCAGCGATGGCTGAAACCGACTCCCGCAGGTTTCGATGTGTGCCGGTCCACTAAACGATTATGTTACGGAAGCAAAACACAAACTGTAGAACATCCTACACAGCCTGACTTTGCCAAGTTTTAACAGGATATGTTTATTTACAAGGTGGGTTCTGCTAACCGGTTTATTGAGGAACTAGGTTTCTACATCAGCTATATGAACTCTAACGTTTTCTTTTTTGTGGTAAGGTATACACAATGTATAAATTAAATAAGCAATGTGAGATATTGAAGTTTCCTGTTTTTTTTGTTACCAAAGCAGTGAGAAATTGAGAGTTGAGCTCTACAGTTCCCCAAATTCAAAACCAAAAAGGGGAGATGACCTTGTATAGTTGAGGTACAATTAAGCTCTGAGTGGAACCTTACATCACCTATAATCATCCTCGAATTGGTAAATATGGGTGTTCAGCAAGAATTCACGTCGGATCCACATTATGTGAAATGAATTACGACACTTAGCTTGAAAAATTCCGAGGTTACACACTTAATTTGGTTGAGGAATTCGAGGAAGAACCTCCCCGCAGAGACTTGGCTTTGGTTATAGTTATTATCAGCACTTGTTAAAACACATTTGCATGTTTGTATTGACATTCATGACTTTGACTGCTGCTCTGTGAGCTAATGAATAATATGTATGCCAAGCAAGGCTTCACCGTACCTCATTAAAATTCTGGTATAATTATAGAAGGTAATATTCATTTATCTACTGCCGTCTTCACATCTTCTATATTTACATCAGAGGTGAAAGATTCATGCAGAAGGAAGTTAAAAATACGAACGTGTCCTTTTTTTTCCAGAGCGATCGTCTCGTCATCAAAGGCGGGAAGATTGTCAACGATGACCAGTCTTTTTACGCCGACATCTATGTGGAGGACGGAGTCATCAAGTAAGTGCTGGGTTCTGTCGTTCTGCTTCTGGTAAAACTTCTGATAGTTTGGCAAGAAAGCCTTCTAAGCTGAAATGGCCCCGATGAGCTCTAAATGTAGGAATATACATTCACATATGTACAAATGCAATGTGAATGGAGTCCGCAGCTAGGTTTTGAATGGTATAAATACTAGCAGTTTAAATGGAAATCCCTCGACCATGACCAGGGTACACAGTGGGATGGATACACAGATGGATGGATGGAAGCCACAATAACTGCATTAATAAGCACTTATAATTGATGTAATTGTAAGAAAGACCACCAAGGGGACAGTGAAGAACATGAGGTGCTGGAAAAAATGATGCCTCATGAACCAGTTGCTGTATTTTTTGACCCCACTAGATGGTGCTCTTGGTTTGTTTGGGGCATGCTTTGTGCCCTTTTTTCGAACAGAGAGCACCATCTAGTGGGGTCTAAAAATACAGCGAATGGTTCAGGAATCGTCATTGTGTCCATCACTACATTCATTTATGCCTTTTAAATTCGGAAGATAAGTGGACTAAGCTTATCACAGATCTGTTCCTCGATGTCTTTGTAAAAATTAGTCCTTGAACAAAACCTGTTCAGCTAAATGAATGTTGTTTAGCAAATCTTGTTGGATTGCTAGTTAATTTGGATCAAACTCAAGTTAGAATGCACTATTCAGGCAGATCGGGGAGAACCTGATCGTCCCCGGTGGAGTGAAGACGATCGATGCCTATGGCCACATCATCATCCCAGGTGGAATAGACGTGAACACCAGCCTCCATGCTCCACAGCTGGGCATGAACCCAGCCGATGACTTCTACCAGGGAACCCAGGCCGCAATTATGGGCGGCACCACCATGATCAGTACGTGGGACCCTCTGCCGTCACGGGAAGGGCGTGGGGGGAGAGCGGGAGGGGGCCCAATGTACCATCGGGACCAGGGGAGGTTGTTTGGGCGAATCGGTCAACCCTGAGCGAAAGTCCCTTGTGGGAGAATCATGTCATCTCTAGTTACGTCAAGTGACTCCAGCCCCTGCTGGCCTGTCTGAAGCTTTTCCTTCAACTCGCCCACTCTTGGCTGGTAAACAACACACATTTTTTGTGGACTGTTTAACTAACTTGCCATTTTGTGACCCAAAATGGTTAGTTATTTTTGTTGCATTTACTTTCCTACGTTTTTATTTTTTAAAATTTATCGATACCGCTTTACAATAAGACTACCCTTATAAAGGGTGTATGAACGGTGTATAATCTGGTTATTAATTAGGTTGTAGCACTTTGTAATTTATTAATGGACAATTATAAACGAGTGATAACATGGTTTTCTTTTTGTTATATATTAGGCTTGCATGGGTGACTTTTTTAGTGAAGTAGCTTCCAGTTGATGGTGTCATTTGTCATTTTTTCAGTAGCAGGATGCTTCACCAGGCAATTTACTTGTCAGAAAGATTTCAGTTAATGTATATTTAAGGATGGCGGTTCAGGATGGCAGCCCAGTTCACCCAATAAGGTGCCACAGTGGTTGGATCGAAAGAAAATTGTGGATTTCCCGGCTTCTCCGTTTGTCCTCCTTTGCAGTCGACCACGTGGTCCCCGAGCCGGGTTCGAGCCTGCTGGCGGCGTACGAGCAGTGGCGCGACATTGCTGACAGGCGATCCTGCTGCGATTACTCTCTGCACATAGACATCACGCGCTGGCATGAGGGGCTGGTCGAGGAGCTGGAGACCTTGGTCAAGGACAAGGGTACGAGCCATGACAGGAGCCTCAGGCTGACGGCCTTCAGGCCGGCTGTCTGTCTCCCATAGCAGGCCTGTGTCCCATAGCAGGCCGGGGCAAACGTCAGCGCGTCCATGAAGTGGCGCCGATTCCACTGGATTTCTGACACTTTTATTCTAAGCAGCTTACAGGGTTTTTATGCATTTATGGGGCTGCCTGTTCCCATGTTCATAACAACAACAACAACAACAAATTTATTTTTGTATAGCGCATTATCACAACATTACATTGTCCCAAAGCGCTTTACAGCATCCCCACCCAAAGCCCCCAGTGAGTAAGCCATAGGCGACAGTGGCAAGGAAAAACTCCCTAGAAGGAAGAAACCTTGGGAGGGACCAGACTCAAAGGGGGAGCCCATCCTCCAGGGGCCGGCAGGGAGAGTCAAATACAGTTTAGTCTGAAACACAAACGGGGAGCAGGGGGGAGATGACAAGCCGGTGCCAACACTTCCTCCAATCGCCAGGCAGCCAGAAGGCAGGGAGCGGGTCATACAAGGAAGATGACACTGGCAGAACGGCGAGCTGGATGCACGGTCGTCATTGGCGACGTCACATGTTGCAGGGTATGCTGGACATCTTGATAGATTGAAAGCTCCAGGTAGCACCACCCAGGAGAAGGTGGTGGAAATAAATGCAATTAGTCAAAGTAAGGGAGACTATAGGCAGTGCTAAAAGTTAGATGAGTGCAATATGAAGTGCAATGCTCCGGCAGATATGGCTATGGCAGCATAAGTAGGAGGGAGAGGCAGGTGGGAATGCAGGCATGGGGAGTCCCTGAAATGTCAGCACTCCAATCCCACAAGCAATTGTGAAGCTAGAGTGACAGCACTGTCAATTCAGTTTATCCAAAGCCAATGGCACCGATCCCCACCCAGCTCTACACCTCACACTATAGGTTTAACTGGGAGTGAGAAGCTAGCTAGAGCTAGAACTAGTGTCCCTATAAGCTAAACTAAATAGGTGTGTTTTTAGTCTAGACTTGAATATTGAGAGTGAGCCTGAAACCCGCACATCCGGTGGAAGACCGTTCCACAGCTGAGGAGCTCTATAGGAGAAAGCTCTGCAGCCTGCCGTAGATCTTTCCGTAGATAACCACTGTACTGCTGACCTGCCTTCTGCCAGACGTCCCATATATATATGTGTGTGTGTGTGTGTGTGTGTGTGTGAGCGAGTATATCTTACCTTATGGGGATAAAAATGTCCCCACAAAATGATATATAACTGTTGGGGACCAGTTTGCTCAATTTAATAAAAATCTGTGACTGCAATGAAAAAACTAAAAACTCTTGTATTTTGTTAGGTTACTTATGGTTATGGTTAGGGCAGGGTGGGGGTTAAGGTTGTCATAGTCAGCGTGAGCATTTTTCCCATAGAAATGAATGAACGTCCCCATAAAGATATGTTTACCCGACATGCGTGTGTGTGTGTGGCTGTGTTTGTTTATTTAATGTCAGTATTCCACCTTCATTCTCCTGTGTTTTTGACCCTATTCCGATTTTGTGCCCCAGTTACATTGCCTGTAAAAATCTTGAGATGAGTGATTTGTGCTTCGCTTTTCTTGCAGGTATCAATTCCTTTTTGGTTTTTATGTCCTATAAAGACAAATTCCAGAGCTCTGATACACAGGTGAGGCTGACCCAAACCGTGATTTATAACTGGTAATCTGCTAAGCTGTCCCACTGGCATGTGTGTGAGGTTTGACTTTGTATTCTCCATAAACAGATGTATGAAATCTTCAGTATCCTCAGAGACCTGGGAGCCATCGCTCAGGTGCACGCTGAAAACGGGGACATCGTGGACGAGGTGGGCCTGGCCAATCTTATAAGCCAAACAATGCAAATCCGCTTATATTCACGGAAAGGTCTTTAAGATTGGATGGTGCTATGCGTAGAGAGATTGGTGTCGACGAAGGGCCTGTTTATCAAGATCTGCTCGTGGATCAGGACAGCAGAAATGCAATTAGCCCCAAGAAGGAGTGTCACAGGATAATGTGATGGGAGAAACGAAACTCTGAAAGTTAGGAAGGCTTATCATGAGCTGTCAGTCTCCCACTGCCAGTCACATCCAATGGGATGAAAGCAGACAATGATTGACAGCACATGGTCATCTTGCAATTTGTGAGCTTCAAAGCTTTTTTCTCCAGCATTATTTCCCATCAAGCACTTGGTGAGATCTATCAGATGCGGCGGCTGCTCTCTGTTCCCAGAATCGAGATCTTTATCCCTCCCTCTTCATCTCTATTTCTGAGTTTCTGGCTATGAATTAAAAATAGTAAGAGCTAAACTTTTATTGCCAGTCACAATCATATTCATTTATAAAGTGCCCAGGTAACTGGAAGCAGACAGTGGGACATACTCAGGAGGGTAAATTTGCAGTGTCTGGTCATAGTTTGGTCGTTGCCCTGCATCATAGTTGCCCTGCATCATAGTTGCCCTGCGTCATAGTTGCCCTGCGTCATAGTTGCCCTGCGTCATAGTTGCCCTGCATTTACTCCCAAGCAGAGTTGAAACCTGCAGGTCAAACAAATCATTTTCATTACATGTTATTAGCAACATACACAAATGCCAGTGAGGACGCATAATCTGAATACAAAAATCAACTTTCTTTACACATTTGTAGTGCTGTGGTGAAAGTACTATTTTGTGTTTTCATAAACATACTCACTCAACTCGTGAAACGGCAAGTGTTGCAATCCAGACGAAAAATACTCACTGCTGTACAGTATTTTCTCCTTTTATTTTCATGCCTCAGTTTGCGCTTCTTTAGTTTCATCTGTTTTCTGGTGGTTGTAGTTTGCTGTTAAGCTTCTCATGAAATGAGAGCAACTTTTATTAGCATACTGTCAGTACCATAACAGCCCACTAGGGGGTGGCAGCGCACTGGTTGGGAACTGCTGCTTTAGAGTGACTGACGTGTCTCCCTCGGCATCCAGGAGCAGAGGAGGCTGCTGGGCCTTGGGATCACAGGCCCTGAGGGACACTTGCTGAGCCACCCTGAGGAGGTGAGCCTGGGGGGGCACACATGGTACAGGGGGGCGGCTGCTGATGGGACTTAAAGGGACAGAACCAGCCCGAGGTCCTCCATGCTCAGCTGCATGTTGGCCTTCTGACCATCACTTCAAGGATGTGTTTGTCCATCTTCTGCTGTTATTTAAATAGCGAGAACCTTTTGGCCTTAACGTCTTAGTAAAGACTGTAAGCGTAAGTAGAGGCAGGACTAGCTAGAGACAAACACAGGCATTTGGGCGGCACCAGTTCCAATTTTACTGACCACCCTCATCAGGCATGGGGCTTGTCTCAGTGCTTTTGGTCCCATCCAGTGTAAAATCACACTGCATCGGACAGTGAAGAAAACATACAGCACAGCAAGTAAATCATGAGCAGGAAAATGGACATAGCAAGTGCAATTACAGTATCGGGGAAAAGATACAGACAAACAGGACAGGAATATGAGGGACAGTAAGCGGTTTCCACACTGGTATCGATTCTGATGGGCCTACAGTGGGTCCAGTGGTCGGTCTTTGGAAGGGGTGGTTCCCGAGATGGGAGGGGTCGATGTCAAGCCGGCCGACATTACGCTGATGACACGATGGCGTCGGCAGGTGGCGACGGAGGCCGTGTACCGCGCCATCACCATCAGCAAGCAGGCAAACTGCCCCCTCTACGTCACCAAGGTGATGAGCAAGTCAGCCGCCGATGTCATCGCGCAGGCCAGGAGGAAGGGTAAGGTGACACGGGCCCTCGCAGGACGCAGGACGCAGCACCTCCATGCATGTTTCCATGCAGCACTGGCTGCATTCTTGCGGGTAACATTATCGCATTATTTCCTGCAAGAAAGGTTTGACGTTTGTAAGAGTTTTCATAGGAAATATCCAAACGTGGGTTCAGTAAGCACCTCTCAATTATTACGCCATTTTAATGTTTAAATGTTTCCTGTAAAACGTCCTCTACTGAAACTGGAGCCTGACCAGCCCTTTGGCTCCACCTCTGCTGACCACGCCCCCGTGGCCGCGTGCTTCCAGGCATGGTGGTGTACGGCGAGCCAATCGCAGCCAGTCTGGGCGCCGACGGCTCACACTATTGGAGCAAGAACTGGGCCAAGGCCGCCGCCTTTGTGATGTCACCACCAATCAGCTCTGACCCCAGCACAGCAGACTACCTCAACTCTCTGCTTTCCTGGTGGGTACCATAGCAACAGTAATACTCACACTTAATAGATTACAATTATTTTTATTATTTATTAGAAGTAGTTGTAGTTGTATTTGTATTATCATCTTTACCATGTATTAGTAATTCTCTAAAGCAGCTTGAGTGTCTGGCTCTGCCTTACAGCAGTGGAGTATATTCTAACACCACTTTGGTTTGTCCTGTCGCTGCCGATAATGAGTTTGTCTGTTTACATTCATTTCCTGTATTTATTTCTGTTTGTTTTATTCTAGTCACTTTCTCTCCGCATGACCATGAGAAACAAACTGCCGAAGCACAAATGTCTTTGCACTGCGGCGTGTTTTCTGATCTTCTTTCTGCCTGTTTAACCGCCAGCGGTGACCTGCAAGTTACCGGCAGTGCCCACAGCACGTTCACGACGGCCCAGAAGGCCGTCGGGAAGGACGACTTCACCTTGATTCCGGAAGGTACAAACGGGATTGAGGAGCGGATGTCGGTCGTCTGGGAGAAGGCCGTGGTGAGGAGCGTGGGCTTTGTGGGACGGCAAACTCGCACGCGGACGCGGCTCGTAAACGACATATGAATGGTCCCCCTTTGACCCAAGGACTTAACCAAGGACTCTTCTGCAGGTAGCGGGAAAGATGGATGAGAATGAGTTTGTGGCGGTGACCAGCACCACCGCCGCCAAGATCTTCAACCTGTACCCCCGTAAAGGTCGGATCGCCGTGGGTTCCGATGCCGACATCGTCATCTGGAACCCAAAGGAGACCAGGATATTTTCTGCAAAATCGCACAAGCTGGTAAGGATCCGTATACCGACTAGTAAATTAGCAAATGTGTATTCATTTGGATTTTAAAGTCTGCTACACGTTGACATATATGTCGAACAATACGCTAGCATTTGCGCAGAGGTGTGTATGGCTCCCCCTGCAGGTGGTCGAGTGTAACATCTTTGAGGGCATGGAGTGCCAGGGGGCCCCGGCCGTGGTGATCAGTCAGGGGAAGGTGGTGCTGGAAGGAGGAAACCTCAACGTCACCGAGGGATCCGGTCGCTTCATTCCCAGGAAGTCGTTCCCAGACTTTGTCTACAAGCGGATCAAGGCCAGGAATCGGGTGAGCTGGCGGGGGGGAGGGGTGAGCTGGGGGGGGGAGGGGTGAGCTGGGGGATCGCATGGTCTCCGCAGAGGACTGACATCTTTGGTTTGCACATACACAGAAGATCTGGCAAAATATGATGGTTTTAATCAAGGCTCTTCAACTCTCTCTCTCGATTCCCAATCCAGGCCTTGTTTTCCGTTCTCCCAAGCAGTTAGTTTAATAATTATTGATTCTCATTGGCCAGAAGCTTCACACCTGACTCAGGCAGACGTGAGTCGTGGGAACTTGTTGCTTTTTGCTCCATATTATTGGCCCGATCCTCTTTGTCTTCCTGAAAGATGTCCGATGCCCGTGGCGTCCCGAGGGGTCTTTACGATGGACCCGTGCACGACGTCATCGGAGCGACGATGTCCGTGCCGGCCACACCGACCCCTCGGGGGTCCACATGTCCCGGGAAGGCCCAGATCGTACCTGCCCGGAACCTGCACCAGTCTGGCTTCACGCTCTCCGGTAAGGCCTGGGTTTGCATCATCTGGCCCAATCAAAGGAACAATCTGGGGGGAGGGGCCCTTCTGTTCATGTTACCAGGAAGCGGCACGTTCCGGTACACACCTGTTATTTAAGCGCTCTTCCCACCGACCCCCAAGTCACCATCCCTGTGACTTCTGAAAAGAAAAAAACAAAGAAAACACAAAGTTAAACCGATCAGAGCCACACATCATCCCACATTTTTCTCTTACAGGAACTCAGATGGACGACCACATTCCAAGGCGCACGGCCCAAAGGATTGTGGCTCCCCCTGGTGGCAGATCAAATATTACATCGCTATCTTGATCTTCACTCCCTCCCTCCATAGCACCTATAAGAAAACTGCTCTTGCTTCCTCTAACACCTAGTGGTACCATCCTGTACTGTATCAGCATTAAATAGGAATAACTCACTGACATTCATTTTGTGTCAGACGTCCCAGTAGCAAAAAAAACAGCCAGTGCATATATTTCATCTCATTCATAATATCTATACTCAACTGTGCGTAACTAGCCAACAATGTAGCAACAGGCATTTGTCACCCCCCCCAATATCCAAAGCATGTATCTAGGACAGGGTCCCCATAAGTTAAAAAAAAAAAGAAAGGTTTTACTCAGCTCCAATGTAGCATTTAAGCGGTGTAGCTATTATTTAGTTATACATGTGATTAGCGTCTGTAAACCATGGACAGGTCTGTGTTTTCTGGTTGTAGGTTTGCCTGCTGTTCTCACATACAGATCAGAGATCAACAGACTCTCATCCGAGAGCCTCCCGTGCTGAAGTAGATATAGAGTCGAAGTCTGTATAGATTGATTCAGAAAGACAGTATCATTGCATATGCTGGTGAAGGTCTCACTGTTGCAGCAGGATGACGGAGATGCGTAATGGTTTAGGGCACAGTTTTGGAGTCACCGTTTTCTGCCAGAGTTTCATGAAATCCTGACAAGATGAGAAGAAGAGATGCTGATTATCGGCCATTTGCAAAGACACTCACATCTTTATTTGATTTAATACATTTCTCATAAAAAATAATAATAATAATATAAATTCTGGTGCTCTTAAACCTTACACTATACGCGGGCAATGTGAGACTGGAATGTCATTTATGGCAGTTTTAAGCTCCCGTTTTAAACTTGTTTTTAATTTTTAATGTTCGACGGTTGTAATATCGTACTTATGTCCTTGTAAATTTTTCTCTTTGTACTTTTACACGATCTAACACTTTTTAAAACCAAAATATTTGAACGATGCATTGTGTTGTCGTTGGTTTCTAAATTATTGTCTGTATTCGTTAGTAGATGGAAAGATGTTGGTTTTCTACCTTGTTGGTGTCCTGTCTGTCAGAAAATGTCATGAATATGCATGATTACAAGTTTGGGCATGAATAAAGATTGTGAGAAAAAATCCATTTAGCTAATTTTTGGTTATATGGAGAAATAGCATGGAAAAATGGCGTATAAAATCATAGACATGTGTAAAAAATGAAGAATTATTGTGGTACAGGTAAATTTAAGTTTGTTAACAGATGTATAGTCAACATTGACAATCTTTTGTATCTTTCAAGCGGTAAAGTTGAATGCGTTCAAATGCAGCGTCGTCGACTTTGCAACACGTTGGTTAAGAAATGCAGAACTAGCGTTGGCATTTTCCCAGCGGCCCTCTCACATTACGCGTGTGTTCTGTGAAACTGCGCCTCCCCGTGATCTTTCAGGGAATTGCATCGTTCTGTGCGCTTCCTTGCCTTTGTACTCGTATTGAACGGGGGGTCACTACGCCATGCTGTGCCGGGCCTGACCAGGCCTATGCAATTGTAAGTCATCTCTCTGTTGTTAATTCATTTAAATACTGTCAGATGTTCCTTGTATGAGGTGAGGCTGCGTAGAACCCCTTTGCACGTGAGTCTTGAGAGTATAGATGTTTGTTGCTTACAAATCTGCTTCTCTGCAAATCAGTACATTTGTTGCTAGTGTCAGTCAGTCAGTCGCGTAACTGTTACTTTTATCCAAAAGTAGCTACAATTTTGTATCATTAATCAAATTGGATATTTCGATTGAGAAATTCAGGTTTAAAATATTTTAATTACATTGCAACGATTGCAAATTGAGTTTAAAAACAGATTACATGTCTTTCCGTTCTCCCAATTCTGCCTGTTTCTCCATTCGGTTGCAGTACTGAGGTGTGGTTACGCTTCCAGCCGTTCGTCTCAAACACAGATCATGTTTCCTGTACTTGAAGCCATTTCTTATCGACGTAAATCGATACATAGAAGCTAGAAAACTTAAACATTGCTGTCTGCTGCTGTATTTCTGTATTTTCTTTCCTTAATTAGCGTGCTTATTGGTACATCACACTGCGCCCATCAAGTTTTCTGCGCGTTCCAATGCGTTTTGGTTGCCTATGACTACAAAGATTACTTTTCCAAAATAATGTTATATATCCCAGGGCGATATCTTTAGCTTAGTTTATGGAATATAATCGAGGTGCAGAAAATGTCGTTACCGATATCATTTTTTTTCATTCATTCATTCATTCATTCATGCAGTACTGGAGGAGGCGGTGGATCCCCCCTCCAGGCCATCACAGCAGGGGACGCCTCTGGCCGGCGAATTTCACAAAGTTCCCATTTTTGCTAACAGGCGATTGCGCAAAATTCGCTACAATTTACCGAGACCCTCCTCCCCGGGTCGGCACATTTTACCGAGACCCCCCCTCCGCATCGTGACTCAATGCAGAATGGTTGTCATTCCTCCCTGTCTCACACCATTGTCCCTGTCGCCGTCCTGTGGGAAACGCGCCTCTTCCTCCCTTCCGGGAATATTTCCAGCCAGTGACACAGAACATTAATAAGCCTCCAGCAAATGCGGCTCATTTTCCGTAAACCCAAGGAAAATGGCCCTGGTCGTTACCGCAACTAAAGTTTTATTGAATTATTTAGAAATGTTTTATCTGGAATGCTGCCAGTCCGCGCAGAAATGGATCTGCTCTCACGTCTCCTTATTCTGTCTTTACACCATCGTACATCTGCGTATATAATTTATAGATATATTCCTCGTGGTCATCCCTGCATCTCTCTTGAACGATCAGCAACAACCACTCGCTGCTCCCCACCCCGGCCCTGTTGATTAACTACCCCTACCACATGGGGGCGCACTCTCCGGCAACCCCACGCCGCGAGCCCCAGTGCCAGCGCCATGTCGGCTGCTCCCAGGACGCATTTCCCCGAAGCAACCGTCAGCTGGGACTTTCCAGCGGCCCGTCCGGTAATTTAATGCCGCAAATATGTACAAGAACAAAAAGCACCGTCAGCGTTTGTCTGTACTGAATCTGTTTAAACTCCTTGCCTTACACGTCTAACTCCCTGAAAAGTACACAGAAAGTTAATTTGACTTTTCGTATTTGCTGTCCAGCATTAGATTAGATATCTTTTTACACAAGAATGGTTGGCAGTGAGTGTCAAAAGCAACAGAAAAGAAATAAAAACAAAAGAAATAGTGCTGATTCTCTGGAATGTTCTGCCCCAACAGCTTTTGGTGAGCAGTAGAGTAAGAAAGCTAATGAATTTAGGGGGTTGCCTTCCCCCACAGTCCTAAGTGAATTAACTGAAACCAGTAAGATAATTGTGGCGTGTGAAATAGTGAGCAGCATATGTTCATTATTTACTCCTAGCTTAATACTATTTGTCAAGTTTTGTGTCTCTGCGCCAAGATTATAGATTTGTATAGGCAAATATTATCACGTGGCATAGCCATTATTTTATAAGTGTTATGACCTCCGTAATTCATGTAAATTAATACTTGTTGAAACAGAAACTATGGATGCACGTCTTGGGTGACTATGGACGATTCCGTTTTTGCTCAACAGGTGGCAGTACTGATCCACCCCAAACGAATGTAATCGCTAACGATTCCTCAGTATTCTCGTTTTTGTTTTTTTGTTCCATTTTTCTTTTGCTTCTATAATGTTGGATTATATCCAGTGCACTACTAAAGTATTTTTTGTATTTTTATATTAAATAAGGATTGAGGTATGTAAGAAGTCTGAAAATGTTGGAAATGTACACTATGCAGTATAATTTCTTAATAGATCGATTTTTGGGGAGAATTGGTTCTAAAATGACATTGTCATGTTAGTATTCAAAACTCTATATCTTATATAAATTCTATAATTATATAAATTCTAGTATGCTGTGTGCTGAATAGATGAGTATATTTGCATTGACTAATGAGTTGTGTCACAGGTATGTATGGTGAGAATTTAGCATAATTTAGTTCGCATTGACGGCAGTATTGGTACCTAAAATGCTCAATAAACAGGCAGTGTTAACAATAGGGGGATTTTCTAATTATGCTGGGCCTGGAAATACCTAATCGGAGGTCAAATCAGAGCCGTAGGTGTAGATGCGTCTGTGTTACTTCCATGTGGTGAGCGTTCATATATTGTTTAAGGCTTAGTGACGGCTTAAGGGATCATGCACATCCCACCCTGCCTCCCCCCCACAACCAGGGCCAAGACATCATAAACTGTGGCTATAGGGGTGTGAGGAATGCTGACATGAGTGCAAAAGGATTATAAGGTGTTTAATCTTTTATGTTGGAACCGGTTTGGTTGGATTGTTGAGCAGCTCGGCGACGGTTAAGATGGACTAAGCTGTGGCCTGATTAGGAAGTGTCCCACCAGCCGACCATGCAGTCCCAGTGCTTCCAGGTGACAGAGCAGGAACGTAAGGGTGCAGTTGATCATGCTGGCTGAGCGTCCAGGTGCAGAGGTCTCAGTGTGAAGGGTGCGGAATGACACACATTCAAATCATGCGGCAGGACTGTGATTTTGTGCAGTTTGTGCCAACCTCCTGGCCACAGCTGCCGTCGCGGCTCGATGCTCTGCAGTCGGTCCCCCAGAATAGCCCCCAGATGGGGACATCGAGCTCCCATCTCTGGCCATCACCTGCGATGACAATGAGACAGACAAAATACAACTACAGGTGATATAGTAGTTGGACGAGGAGGACGGGCGTCTTAATATGTTAAGGGGCAGAACACTACGATACTGTAAAGGGTTAGGGGCTGAGGAGTTTGTGTGCTCCTGCAAATTAACAGGGTACACTACCAGTCAAAAGTTTTTGCACTCAGTAATATTTTCTACATTTGCATGTTACTTATGTAAAAATACACTCAAAATTCTTTTCTAACAAATTTACAGTATGTTCACCATTTGAGTGCCATTTACTGGCAAGAAAATGTCAAATCTTTTATTCATCAAACTGACCTCCTCTAGCAGTTATAACAGTAGAGCAAATTCGAGGCATTCTTTCTACAAGGGACATTAAATACTGCTCTGTTTCATGGGATGAAACAGGTAACTAGTGCATTTAAAGTTAAAGAACAGCCTAGAGTTTGACTCTGCCGTCACCACAGAACCAGTTAATAGGACGTCAGACATGCACTGTTACACACTCTTTCCATGTTTAAAGGAAACTTGTATCATTTGACTTATATTTTCATTTATAGTTGTTCACTCAACTTTCCAAAGCTTAACAAGAATGAAAAATATGCGGTTTCTGAAATAAATGGAGTGGCAAAGCCTGTGGTGTGTAAAAGGTTTTGACTGGTAACGTGCATCATCTGAAGCAGGCTGTTACTGGGCCAAAAGGACAACTGCTACCACAGTGGCAAGACAAACACATAGACATGGTGCACTTTGTCCAAACCGGACATGATGTGCGTGGAGTTTGCCGGTACTGAATGAATGGAGCCCTCTTCATCACAACTTGGCCAAGCGTGTAGTTTAAAAAGTGATTTTAAAAAGAAAATTATTTTTTTTTACGTTCACATATGTGTATTTTTATTAAAATTCCAACTGCCACAACTCCCTGTTATGTAAAGCATTTCTGAAACTGAGGGACGGGTGGGTGAATGAATGGATGACTTAACCACTTACCTTGATGGTCCTTGATGAATGGAAGTTCAGCTCTAGTGTTTCGTGCTTTGATGGAAACGGCAAAAATCTTTGTTCAGTGATGAGCTACGAGTCAATGAGAACTGTAACCGTGAAGCATGCGACAGGCTGCGTTTTCAGGGGATGAAAAGGTGAGCTTAAGCAAGCCTGCAAAGCTAGTCATAGATAATCAAGCCAGTCTAACGCTATCGACTTATTGATGCGTTAATTAAGACTGTGTCACCAGCAGGGTTGGACTGGTCTTCTGGCGTGCTGGACATTTTCCCGGTAGGCCGATGGGTTTGTGGGTTGGCAAAATTTGCCGAAATTGGCCAAGTACATGTCGCTGTATCATCGAATGCATCTGACGTGCAGTTTGATGCGAAGCCTGGTGCTGCCTTTGATAGGTAATGCGCATTATGTCTACGCGCTTCTCTGTTATCCGCCGTGCAGGTGAGAGGTCTCGAGAGACGCTCATTTAATACGCTCACTAAAGCGCTGAAGACCTACTCGGAAAGCATTAAAACATTTATCAAAGCGAGAGAGGGAAAACCTATTTAAATCCCAGATCATGGCAGCGTAGAGGCCGTGATGCCATCACCCCCTCTGCGGTAAAATCCCAGGGTCAGCTCCAGCTTCCAAACATGCATGACAATCGGGGTAGTTTTTTTTTCTCCTCATCTGCGTTCATCAGGTGCTTTCGTATCCCACGGCCTTAGCTAGCAGGAAGGGTGACCTTCTCACTAGAGCAGACCGCTGCCTTGGCTCCGCTGTGTCGGAGCCATTAACCACAAAAGCATCTGCTTCAGTTCTGTTCCTCCCCATGGCATGCTGGGAAAATTATGCACCAGCTCCAGGGCAAAAAAAAAAATAAAATAAAGAAAACTAGCCGACAGCTGGCAGACTTTGTTCGCTTGTGAAGTGGCTTGCATCAAACCGGCAAACGGTCTTAATGCACCCATTGCCACTCCTTCATCTGTCCTTTTGTCTGTTTCAGAATATAAATAACTATGTCCATTATCCTTTTTCCAGTGTTGTGTATAAACTCATAAGAAGATGCTCACATACACCTGGTTGACCTTTATTTTTTTCCCCCCTCGTATATTACAGATAGCCCCACAACCCTGATAAGGAGAAGCGGTTAGAAAATGGATAGATTATAGACAGCTTATGGTGTGTTAGCAAAGCGATGGTGAAGGACTGGGTTAGCACTAGCCTAGTGCTAACATGAAGGTCAGGCAATGACTCCCAGCTGCTCCTTATTAGACAGCTACAGCTACGCTATGTTGCAAATAGGGTCAGCAGGCCGCGTGATGTGTGCCATCCCATTTAGGGTTTGTTTTCAATCAGCAAATTATCTTGTTACGAAATGGATCCTCATCCCTATTTTTTTCAGTTTTTCTACAAAAAACAAAACCAAAACACAATCCTTTCCTCCCATCCAGCCTTGCATTTGCTTGCCACAATATACTTGGCTGTTTGTGTCCGAGTCACGGTGTCATTCAGAGCCTGCTATTTTTATTTTTAATGTATTCATTCTCTCATGTGTAAACTGAATTGGTGGTAATGTCCTTGCACCACAACAGAGAAGGTATTTCTACATGTATAATTAAAAGTGTTGCTCCCCCCCCCCCATTAAAATGATCCCAGAAAGTACCCCCAAGTGCAGCCATGCATGTGCGTCTTAACACAAGGTGACATTTATACCAAAGCCTACTTGGGACTGAAGTTATTCGTTTAGCAACGCTATGATATTTGAATGATTCATCTTTTGAGCCTCTAAGTCTGGGAAAGTGGTGCCAAACTGGGGGTGTTTTGCCTCCAGTTTTTTGGCTGTGTCATAAAGGACAGCAGTAGTTGGACGACGTTCTCTGTCCTGTTTTTCAGACTGACGAGTGAAAGTCTCCTTCGCTCCAGTTGCGAAGAGCAGCGGCTGTGCGGCTGGACCCGGCCTTGCCGTCCGCTGAGGAGACGAGCCGTACCTCGTAGGTCTTTCTGAAGATGAGATCCATTAGGCCATGTCACAAAGCCTTGAGCACCATGACCTGCTTTGCTATGTGCATTACTGTGCATAATTACTAACTTTTAGTTGTGTGTCAGGTTTCGTGAGGCATTCATATATACTTCACAGTTCTCATTTACCCCCCACTTCCAGCCTTAAGGATGAGAATTAAAATCCAATTTCTTAAGTATCAACACTGAAAACCCCCCAGGCTAAATTCTGCCCTTCCAGGTCGTCACCAGTGGTACCAATCATTTCGTCCAGCACCCCTTTGGCCTTCTGATTTTGCTTTTTTTTCTCCCCGTCAACCCTTTCCCTTCCGTTTATGAACCAGCTGAACACCTTGACCTACTGCCACACTCGGAAACGTGTGTCACGTGCAGTGCCATAACGACAGAGCGGAGGTTCAGGCGTTCGGGGCCGTTATCAAACCTCTCAGAGTTGAGCCTCACCGACACACTAATATATCAAATATTTGAAGGACATGCTATTGTCTGAAGGCGCAATGTTCCGTCACGCGACAAGCGTTTAAATCACCGTACGTGTCTGAGGCCTCATTGCCCATGTGAACTAATAACAAAGTCAAACAGGCAGATCGGCATCTATTCTGACAGACGGGGAACTGTCGTCAGACATTACCAGTAGCACACAGAGACACAAAGTGCCCTTACTGTGACGTCCAAGACCCGAGTAATCAAGGAAGATCTGAGCAGGGGTGTTTAAATCACTGTCACAGGCGGATAAGTCACAGGCGGATCAGTTATAGGCAGATAAGTTAATGAAGCTGCTATAAACAAAATGGTAGCTCAAATATATTGGTTACAAATGTGAGCTTGCAAATGAATGTTCACACAGTCACATAGCTCAGGAAAACTAGTGAAATGCACATTTACCAGCTACATGTGATGCTTCTCAGCCATGTATCTGCTAAGCTCTTCTTTGGATTCGTAGACATAGAGCGTAAACTAGGACAAGCCATGAACAGAATGTCAATACGCTGCATGGAGCTGAACAGCAATTGCTGTCTCACACTGAGACTCCAGCTTACCCCTAACGGCATGGAAACCCTTCAGACCAACACCATTTATACCTCCCCCCCCGCACACTACGCGGGGGGTAAAACAGACCCCCACCTCAACTCCTGTACAAAGAACGATGCCTCAGAAAAACAGACGGATGCACTGTTTATTATGTCCATCGATCAGGCAGCCATACTGTGAAATTAATAATCGGTCCTTCACTGCTCCCTGCATGGGACACGGCTTCCTTATTCATGCATGTGTGTTGATTTGTGAGACTGCATTGATTTCCTCCACCAGCTTCCGCTAATTAGCCTTATCAAAAACCGCAAGCTGGTAAGTGATCGCGGCGGCTAATCAGCCGCGCGACTCACCGCCAGCAGTTGCCATTTAGTCAAATTAATTGATCCGAGCGCCGAGAAGGTGGCCGCTGACTCTGCAGGGCTGCTCCGGGGCTGGGAGGTGGAGAAAAGCGGCTTTGCTGAGGTTTAGTGCCGCAGACGGCGGGTGTGCCAGCGGACACGTACCGAAATCGCTACAGTGGGTGACCGACGCAGCAGGCGGTAAAGTGGCTGAGAATAGGGAGTGATCTTGCTGGTTTAGTTCCTGAAGGAAGCTACTCTTATTCACTTGATGGAGGCAATTCAACATGGACCGGTCCAGACTGGTGATAATCGATGGATGGTAATAAAGGGGCGCCTTAAAATGGGGGACAGTTGGGATGATTTCAAGGGCCACTGAGTGACAGGGGCCCTAAAAAAAATGTGGATTGATCTGCATTGGGGGGCCCAATATGATATGCTTTTATGGGGCCCGAAATCTCCAGCAGTACCTCTGTGTAATGCAAAAATGTCCCTGTAAACTGCACCCCCCCCCCGCCTACATAGTTGTAGAAGGAATCTGAACTCTGCAATAGTTATACCCCCCGCCAAGGGGATCACTTTGCATTGGGGGGGGGGGGGTTGAGGTCTTCACGCATTTAGGGGGGCCCAGGGGGTTGTATTGGCTGTTTTTGATTATTGGGGGGCTTACAACCCCCCATTCCCCCATGACTTATGCCTCTGCTCCACACTGGCTCAAATTACCCAAATGATGACCATAAATGCAGGAGAAACACATGCTGTTCAAGTTGTAGTTTCTTTTGCCATAAGAAAGATTCCTTGTCCTGGGCCTGTGTGATGCGTTACGATACGGGTGCAGGCAGCCCATGCGTTTGGACCGCGGCTGTCATTTGCACCCCTGATTACGCTGCCATTTCTGCTCAGAGCAATAAGTAAACAAAGGTGGGAAAAGAAAGTCCCAGCTGCTCCGTTATTGCCGTCTTATTGCATCCAAAACCCTTTACAAAAGAAAGAAAATAAGCCGACACATTTCTCTGGTAATTCGACAATCACGCTTTGTTTACTGCACACGATAATTATTTCCAGATTGGTTTTTGTAGTCCGAGTTGTGCTCCGAATCTGTTGATTTCCTTTATTTCTGAAGAGAGGAACCTTCTAAAATAATTCAGGTGAAACTCTCGGTCGTCAGCACGAATTATTCCTGCGAACCAAATTATATACACACACACGTGTCTTGATTAGCAAATGCATCTCGGCGAGCATGTCAGAGGGACACGGGGAGGAGGCTTAACACTTAGCTTTAGCGTCTCTCCAGATTCTCCCGCCCTCAGTGGCCGCCGCCGTTTAGTCATTACCATCGCCCCTGTTGTCTTTAGTGGATCATTAGCACTGCAGCCAGCACACGGACTCGCGTACCCTCGAGGGTCGGGGGGGTGCGTTTCCACATGCAGGATGCAGCGGGGGCCAAGGAGGAGGCTTTTCATGTCGTTGGTTCCAGTTTTAGCAAACTCGTAAGTGGAGGAGAAATATATGTTTACGTCAAATTAAAGCTACATATTCTGATTGGCCATCCCACCCACTGGTAAAACGGTGGAAGAGCGGACATAGCGATTTCTATATATATTTTTTTTTTTAAAGGGAAAAATGAAAAGTCGAAGAGTGTGGGAAGGTGGCAGGAATTCTGATGTCAGCTTTGGAGTATGTTAGAGCTGCAAGGAGCAGCCCCCGGGAATCCCGAGGCACTGTACGGGAAGGGTGTCACTCTCTAGCGAGACTCGGTGCCATATGACAGGCGTCGGTCACTCGCTCAAGTTGCTGGGGAAGGAGGGGGGGGTAGTATAGAGGAACTGAAGTGAGACTGACAGGATGATGTCACCCCCACAGTTCACTCACGTTCCTTATGGGAGTTTATCTCAGGGAGCTGATCTGATCTCTGGCCAGGAGCTGGGAAGAGCCCACGACCGCTTCGGATGCCGGCCCGCTCATTTGTTTGTTATTCGTGAGTAGATTCCCAGGGAAACAGTCGTTGATGGTTACTTCAATAACGTCACTGCCCAAAGGTTTCCTGTTTGCACGAGGGGTTTATAGAGAAGCGCGGCCTTCTTCGGCGATGCCAAAAACACGCCTGTCCACGAACCTGATGGAGGGCGAGCTGGTGTGTGGGACCTCCTGCAGACTCCCAAAGGGTCACTCAAAGCTGGTCCATGAACACCAAGATCTGGAGATGTTCCTGCTGAACCAGCCCTCATCCCACTTTCCAAAGGTGGCAGGATGTTGGTTTTCATCCCCAGGGAGAGTGAGGGTATCCATTGCTATCCCACTTTCCTGCTTCGCTGCTGCCATTATGACTACAAGAATTTTCTTGAGGTGATGAACATCTATTAAAAACCGACCATTTTGAACTTGGTATTAAAAGTTTTAAAAGTTAGTTTTGAAGTATTGCCACTCCTCTTCGTTTTTGGACCTCCATTTCCTTAGATTTCGACGAGGCCAAAGAAAAAGTATTTCTTTCTAAATTGCAAGCAAAAAAAGTACTTTTAATGTGATTGACCCACAAAAATAAAACTAGTCAGCTTAAGAGTGAGAGAACACTGTGCGTGCTGAATGATTCAGTCTGCATATATTTTTTTTAATGAAAAGAAGCCAATGATACAGAGCCGTAATGCCTCATGAATCCAGCCTTGCCTATCAACCCTCAGAGACCAAACGGAAAATGGCGTAACACACGTTTGCCCTGATGATTCTTGTGGTGTCTGAGTAATCATTACAGAGCTTTTGGCACCGGAACAGCGAGGCTTTCAGCGTTTTTAGACCCCAACACCAGGCTTTGTGTCGGCCATCAACATTTTCTATCTTCGTGAATCTGAAACTTCTGGGCGACGTGGTGGCGGAACGCGCTTAGAGGATGGATGGATGTTACAGATGGTTATTGAATAATATTGAATAATAATTTCAGTATTCATTCAAGTATTCATTCATCTAACTGTCAGGGTCCTATCTCTGGGGGTCTGGGTCTCTGGCAGCATGGGATACACCTTTGATGGGATGCCAGTCTATTAAAAGGAGCACATTCTCACAAGCTATGGGCAGTTCGAGGCCCCTGTTAGCCTAGCTGCATGACTGCAGCCTGCAGGAGATCCGCACGACACGACGAGAACATGCTAACTCCACACACTCACGCAGACCTGGTTTGTTTGTTTTTATTGCAACGACATCTTATTTAGGTCTGATATGTGTCACGTAACATGAGCACTAGCAGTATTCTGAATTCCAGTCAGTTCTTTTTGTTCAACTGCGGGTCCGTCTAGTTCTTATTTTTAATTTTTTTTTTTTTTGAAAAATCACAGAGAAGCCTAGTTGAGTGCTCAGCAGTGAGTCCGTGCGGCCATTTCGCACACGCTTTCCAGAAAGTTTTCATAAGGGAACGCATCCAGATATGGGAAATGGTTTCCCCCGACAGTGCCGGCTTCCTAAGACGGGATTTCAGGAACCAAGCTTCTCCGGGAATTTCACTTGGGTGTAATGCTGGAAAGACACGATGCAATTCTGAGCGTGTAGGAAACCTGAGTTGAAAGTGCATGAAATTGTTGTGTAGGGCTATGTGTATAATCACCAAAAATATTTAAAAAAAAGGGGAAACTGGGTGCCCCCCAGTCCTGATCAAATGAATCAGGGCTGATTGGCAGGCTGCTGTGTGCTTTGTTTAGAGACCCAACAATGACTCTGGTGTCCGTCCATGGAGACCGTTACACATTCCCACTGG